GAGAAAAAAGAACTCTCCTACAGGGCTGATGTGGTGTCCCCGCGCCCCGTGTCCCCGTGTCCCCGTGTCTCTGTACTCCAGTCACGTGTGTCCATGGCTGACGGCAGCCACGCAGGGCTCACTCACAAAGGCAGGAGCCCCGGCTAGTCCTCACCCTCTCCCCCCAGTGCCCGGTCCACACCCCCACCTCTCCTTCCCCTCCCTCCAGCCTGGACACCCACACCTGCCGTGATTCTAGCCAGGGTATGTGGCTCAAGCGGTGAAAGCATCTGCCTGGCAACTGCACCAAGGTTCTGAGTTCAAATCCTAATGACACTAAAAAACAAATGAAAAGCTCATGGCTCTGAATCTAGCATATCACCTTCTCTATCCCTTCCACCAGCTAAACAAAGGTGCTTTATAGATTGTGTAAGATCCATATATATACACATATATATGTACACACACACACACACACCAGAGCCAAAAATGGAGGATTTTCTCCTTACCGGGGGTTTAAGAGTCCCTCCGTCCCTCCCTGTATGGGGAAGGGCTGGATCACAGAAACGCTGCCCAGCTCTCTCCCCTTTCCTTGACTCCTTTCTCCGCTGTGTTTCAGCTCCTAACAGTAGACACCTATGGACCACTAAAATGTACATAGAGCTCGTCCGACAACCCCAGATGCGCACACCTGCACACAACCCCAGATGCGCACACCTGCACACCTGACTGACACTGCCAATCCCACCAAGGGCTGTGAGACGTATTAAGCTGTAGTAAGCTTCCCACCACACAGACCTCTTTTGTATCAGGACTAATTAACTTTAGTGGAGACATCTGGAAGTCAAATTTTGGACCAAATGATGTAGACGTTTCCTTAGCTTGATGCATACTTTCAGTTGTTTTCAAAAGAATTGTGTCAATTTATAATACCATCATCAATATAGCACTATTTCATTTCTAACATCCATAAGCTTAAATTATACTATTTATAGTCTATTTCACTATATATGCATATTACAGTTCAATGGGTAGCTATTATAACTACCACAAGGGTAGGGACCAGCTATAAATGCATCCTTCTTCGAAAGTGATGTAAATATCCTCCCCCCTCACATCTTTAAAGTTCATATTTCTTTTCCTATAAATCATTCCTGCTGTCATTTGAGTGTTTGTCTTCATAACCACGCTGTAGCATTTCCTGCTAGTGCCTAAGGAAAAATGCTGATAGAGTGTGGGCAGTAGCAGTTGAATCCAAAGCATTCTTATGCTATTGTCCTTACATGAGCCCCGTTTGCGCCGCGATTCCTGAATGAGCAGAGTTTGGGCAGAGCTCTGCACATGTCATTGTGAATGCTCACAGGAGAAAATGGGAGCGTGTGCAGCGGCCCCTGCGATGTCACACACGCTCGTCACCCCTGCTCACACTGCACTCAGCCTCACCTTTCTGCTTCTTGGCGCCAGAGCACAGGAAGCCTGACCCTTTGGGGTTACCACCCTCACCCTCTCCCCTACTGCTCTCTCTAGCCCCAGACAAACTTTCTCCTACTCCACAGAGCCTCTCCCAGCCTGCAAGCTCAGCCTTTTCTGTTTGCAGCTTCTGTGTCCTGTCTGACCTGCGCCTTCCTCTTCTCCCCTGACCTTTCAAGGACAGCTTCATATCTTGCACATCACCCTGTTCAGCTGCCACTGGTCCAGGCTGACGGTGTGTTGAGCAAGTCTGGCATCTGACTGTGTCTAGGCAGACATTGATTTCCCAGCAAGCCGTGCTAAATGTCTCCCTTTCCCAAGTCCTCACTCCCTGTTTGTCCTTACCTGCTCTGGACTAGGACGATTTCCTTTCCCTTCCCCTCCCTCCCACCCATTCCCCGCCCTTTCCTCCCTCCTTCTCTTTTTCTCTCCTTTCTCACTCTTCCTCATTCTCTCACTCACTCTCTCACTCTGTCTTTCTCTTTCTTTTTGCATGGAAAATTAAACACAAGGTCTTGTGCACACAAAGCAATGCTCTACCACTTGAGCACACCTGCAGCGCCTCCTGTTTTCTAGTTGAGCTATGTCCTTTATTTCTTTAATTTCCTCCCTTTTTTCATAGTTCTCCTTCCCGCCTTCCCTCTAGCCTGTCATACTCTGCCTTTAAATCATGAAACAAAAACAGCTTTCCGTGCACCCTGCTTCTTCACAAGTGCGTTGTGAGTTCCTCTTACACTACAAATGTAAAAACTCTGTACCTCCCAAATCCTATACAACATGTGTGCCTCCAATCTCACACTTTTAAGACCCAGTAACTCGGTCAAGACTTAGTTCTGTTCTACTGGCATCAACAGAAATGACGTGGTCTAAAGCTGGTCAGCTGGCAGGTGGGCCTATAGAGAGAAATTTGCACTTACAAGTGCTCTCACGGAGTGGCTGGCGCGTGGTGGAGGATGGACGGGGGACTCCAGCAGCAGTCTCAGGGAAGCTCTGTTTCTTACAGGGCGGCCCAGGGCTCCAAACCCGAGTGCTCCGCTGGCCGGAGACGCAGCTGCAAGAACTGCGATGAGGCAGCCTTGAAGGTTGGCGGCATCCGGTCCAGTCCGGTCAGCTCCGCTCCGCTGGCCGCAGGAGGCTGGCACCGGCCTGGGGCATGGGAGGAAAGGGAGCCTCGATTCTTGGATAAGATGAATGGACGAATGTGTAGTGATTCTGTAACGATGAGCTCACAGAGTGCCATCATTTAAAAAGACAAAGTCAAAGCCCAGCAAAATAAGCACTGGGATGTGGGACCTGCAGGAGGGCAGGGGAGCCGGGTGAGAAGGGCAGAGGAACGAAGGGCCAGGAGAGAATGCAGTCACGAGGTCACTGTACAGAAAAAGAAATCAAGGGAACGGGTGGCCGAAGCGGGTGAGCGTGTTGAAGGGGTGACACTGATGCATTATATTGGGCTGGGAAGGTGGCTCAGTGGTAGAGTGCCTGCCTTGCATGCATGAGGCCCTGGGTTCAATTCCCCAGCACTGCATAAGCAGGAAAAGCCAGAAGTGGCGTTGTGGCTCAAGTGGTAGTGCGCTAGCCTTGAGCTGAAGAGCTGAGGAACAGCGCCCAGGCCCAGAGTTCAGGCCCACAAATGAAAAAAAAAAAGATGCATCATATTATATTCACAAACTGTTTTGTAAAATTGTACCTCCTTTGTACAACTACTTAAAGACAATAAAAACTTTTTTTAAAAAAGAAAAGCCACAAGGGATAGCTTATTTTTGTAGAGCACTATAGCAATTTACTATTTGCTTTCTGTCAATACTAATCACATCTGGCATTTTCCTATCAAAAATAAAAGTAATTCTAGAATATATGCGCTGTTGCATTTGAAAGTTCAGATCATTCTTGGCTTTTGCATGGGATGTGTCCTGTCTGAATTTGGAATGGGGAAAGAAAACGTGAAAATAAAACTACTTCAGACAGAAGCGCTGTGGGGGATTCCGGAAGGAAGGTCCGGGTGGCAATAAGGACCCGATGTTCCATGGAGTCAGGAGCCAGCAAGGATTAATGCTGCCTGTATATTTTATTCATGTCATAACAGACAGCCTCTGCTTAGCCATAACGGCCGTCATATTGTAACAGACTATGATAGCCACAAAGCAGTGCATAGCCGCATTCCCTAAAGCCACCCTAAGCATCAGAACCGAACCTAACTAACCAGGCTTTCCTTTGTCTCATGACGGAAATATGGACTTCATGTTTGCAAAGCATTCTCAGCTGACCAACTGTTGCCATCTTCTTATCTGTCAAAACACTCGCTTTACAGCGTTTACCCAAGGAAACTCTTGCACTCCACATCCCGTCCTTTCCCACACTGCCCTATCAGGTGAATGTGCCACGCACATGGGAGCCCTGAGCCGGGTGTGAGGTGAGGAGCTTAGAACACAAACGCGCACTCAGAGCAGCTCCACTGGGTTTCTAGGGCTTCAGGCCTAGCAACGTCCTCCTGTCTCCCTCTCTCCTTCCCATCATCCAGCTTCCCAGCGCACCAGGCCGGCAGAGCGCACTGCTGCCTGCGATCCCCTTTTCCCATCGCTGCCCACCGCCATCGCTCTCCAGAAGCTGCCTGTGCGCGTTTGTCCCTCTGATTGCTGAGAGCTCCCCGCGTGGTCCACACTGCCCTCCTTCCTCAAGTCTTGGACGCTCCTTGGGGCTGGATTCGTTGAGACAGAGCAGGCATCTTTTCTCAGACCTGATTTCAGAGTTATCCCCCAAGCTTGGTGTCTCAAAGGCTCTGCTCCTGGAGGAAGGGACCCCGTCTGCCGGCCACTGCTCGGTGCAGCACCAGCAGGGTCTGGAAGATTTCAATGAAGATGCGCACCCTATTCACAGGTCCTGTGGGTTGGCAGGGGGAACGTTCTGGAAGGAAAGATCCGGTCCTTTCCCTTCTTTCTTCCTTTGATTCTTATTACTTCCTGCTTTTGTTTTCTAAGGACATTTTAAAACCGTTTTCCAGTGGATCGATAACTGCTCCAAGGAAACCTTGGCGCAGAGAACAGGGACATCTCCCCCACGGGCCCCAACCCTCACCCACACTGCCATAGGTGAGGCCTGGGCGCGGCTAAGGGGCCACATTTTACACAGTTGGAAACAAAATCTGGAGGAAAGATGACTTTCCAGGAGTCATGGAGTCCCTAGGGCGGCGGTGCCTGGCGCAGGGCCCTGGCCTGTCCCTCCCAGACGGACGGACGGGGGGGGGGGGGGGGCTGGGACTCAAGGGAGAACGGAGCGGTGAGGAGCGGGAAGCGGGTTCATGGAAGGCTGAGGGCCACGCCCCGTCATCCTGTGCCCCGAGGTGCCCGTCCGGGCTGTGGGATGTCCCCCGCCGTGCGTCCTGGGGCAGCAGGACGGGGTGGGGGCCTGGAGCACGCCCCCCGGCCTCCCCACGCCCCGCCCTCCCCACGCCCCGCTCCCACCGCCGGGATATATCGCTCTCCGAGCCGGGCCGAGGCGCAGCGGTGCCCGGCAGCCGGGGCGCAGCGTGGGGAGAGGACCCGGACCCCGACTCTCTCTCGGTCCCCAGCGCGCAGCTCGGCCCAGCCGCCGCCGCCGCCGGACCCCATCCGGAGAGCCAGAGGAGCGAGCGCCGCCCGGGGAAGGAGCGCGGCGAGGCGGACTCCACGTCGGGGGTCGCCGGCCGCGGGCGCTGAGCAGGGATGGCGCCGGCCGCCGCCCCGGAGGGGCACCCGACCATGGGCGTCCAGATGTTCTCGGCGGGGGTGTCCGCCTGCCTGGCCGACATCATCACCTTCCCGCTGGACACCGCCAAAGTGCGCCTGCAGGTGCGTGGGGGCTGGGTCCGAGGCGGGGCGCAGGGTGCAGGGCCACGCGGGGCAGGGCGCAGGGGCGCGGGGTACAGGACGCCGGGGCGCAGAGGCGCAGGGGCACAGGGCCCGCAGAACGCAGGGCACAGGGTCGCAGGGGCGCAGGGACATAGGGGCCGGGGGGCCGTGGAACGCAGGGCACAGGGGCGCAGGGGGCGCAGGGGCGCAGGGACATAGGGCTCAGCGGCGCAGGGGGCACAGGGCGCAGGGGCGCAGGGGGCGCAGGGGCGCAGGGGGCACAGGGCGCAGGGGCACAAGGCGCAGGGTCGCAGGGGGCGCAGGGGGCACAGGGCGCAGTGTCTCACATGCATGAAGCCTTGGGTTCGATTCCTCAGTACCACATACACAGAAATAGCCAAAAGTGGCGCTGTGGCTCACGTGGTAGAGCGTTAACCTTGAGCAAAGGAAGCTCAGGGACTGCGCCCAGGCCCTGAGTTCAAGCCCAGGACTGGCCAAACATATAAAAAGTTAGATTGTCCAGGCTGGGACCCTTCAGAGTAGGACTGGGGGGTTGGTTGGTTGGTTGTTTTTCCGGATAAGCTGCAGAATCAGGAGGACCAGGCGGGAGGGGGACCCTTGGGAAGATGGGGGCACAGGGGCTATCAGCATCCTCCAGCCAGGAGTCTCTCATCCCCAGGCTCTTCAGGAACCGTCCCAGCCTGCTAGTGTAGGGAGACGGAGGCTGCGCGCGCGCACGCGCACGCGCACACACACACAACGAGGCAGCTTAGGTGTATAGTTGGTCCTCACCAAGCTCACCCCCTCTCCACGAACCCATGACCGCCATTCCCTCTTCATCTCCAGATTCAAGGGGAGAGCCCCACGTCCAGCGGCATCAAGTACAAGGGGGTCCTGGGAACAATCACCACGCTGGCCAAAACCGAAGGCCCCGCGAAACTGTACAGCGGGCTGCCCGCCGGCATCCAGAGGCAGATCAGCTCGGCCTCGCTGCGCATCGGCCTCTACGAGACCGCCCAGGAGTACTTCGCGGCCGAGACCGACAGTGAGCGCCACCCCACACCCCGCCTCACCCCCGGCCCGAGTTTAGCTCTGCTCACTAACTGTAATCCAGGTGGGGCCGTGTGGCTCACACCTGTAATCCCGGTGACGGTTCCTGGGCGGTTGGGAGATGGGAGGGTCCCCGTGGAAGGCTATGCTGGACAAAGAGTTCCTGAGACTTCATCTCAATCAATGAGCCAGGGCGGGGCCTATGTCTGTCACCCCAGCTGGGTGGAAGGCAGGGAATCCCAGGATGGTCATGGTGATGGGGGGGGGGGGGGGGGATACAGGACCATTTTTAGTAAAGCAAAAAGAGCTAGAGGCGTGGCTCAAGGGATAGAGCACCTGCGTAGCAGATATAAGACTTTGAGTTCAAACCCCAGTACTGGGGGGGAATAGTAAGCAAGGCTGGCCCCCCGTAGCTCAGTGGTAGTGCTGGGTTCCATCCCCAGCACCAGATCTCCCCCCCCTCCCAGCCCCAAAAAGAAGCACCACACGAGGTAGTAGCTGTCATACAAGTTGGAAAAAAAAACAGCAGCACTTGCACATGCTCTCTTCCTCAAATTGGAGCTTTTCTGTCTAGAAAGAAAAAGAAGTATGCAATTGATTTTTTTGGGTCAGTTGCAGGGCTTGAACTCAGGGCCTGGGCACTGTCCCTGAGCTGCTGCTGCTTCTTTTTTTCGGTTGGTCTCAGGCTTGAACTCTGGGCCTGGGCGCTGTCTCTCCGTTCTTCAGCTCAAGGCTAGCACTCTACCACTTGAGCCACAGCACTCAAAACTTCCATTTTTCTGAGGGGTTTATTGGAGATAAGAGTCTCACGGACCTTCCTGACCAGGCTGGCTTTGAACTGCAATCCTCAGATCTCAGCCTCCTGAGTAGCTAGGATTACAGATGTGAGCCACCGGCATCTGGCTTCTCTGAGCTTCTTTTGCTCATGGCTAACACTCTACCATTTGAGCCACTGTGGCACTTGTGGCTTTTTCTGTGTATGTAGTACTGAGGAATTAAATCCAGGGCGTCATGCGTGCTTGGCAAGCACTCTATTACTAAGCCACATTCCCAGCCTTGCAAGTTGATTTGTGAAACCCCTATTAAGGCAATTTGTCCACTGGGCTGTCCCCAACGATGAATCCAGTAAACTGTGCCATCATTGGTAGCAGGAAGAAGAGGCAGCATGGTGACATTGCTGGGGAACCGCTAACCACAGAGGAGGGCTCAGATGAATTCTGGGAAGGACTAGGCCACTGTTCACAGAGGCATGGCTTATGGCGCCTTGAAAACCCTGATTTTCAAAGCGCTTCAATCAACGCTGTGCAGCCCAGCTATGATCTAGTCTATCTCCAACTGACATGAGGGAAGTAGAAAGATAGAAGAATAGAAAACTCTGAACCACTCAAAGTTAAAATGTGGGAGCATTAGGGGTCTTGACCGTTTTTGTCTTGACAAGGCTGTTTTCTTTCTCTGGATAGAACCACCAAGTTTGGGAAACAAGATCTTAGCTGGCTTGATGACCGGAAGCGTGGCCGTGTTTGTCGGGCAACCCACGGAGGTGGTGAAGGTCCGAATGCAAGCACAGAGCCACCTCCACGGCCTCAAGCCTCGCTACACGGGCACCTACAACGCGTACAGAATTATCGCCACCAAAGAGAGCCTGTCGACGCTTTGGAAAGGTAAGTCACGGTGAGGCGGGCGACACAATCATCACAACTCCCGCGTCACACACCAGACTCAGCCCGCAGCGTTTTCTCTCCAGGGACCTCACCTAACCTGCTGAGAAGCGTCATCATCAACTGCACAGAGCTCGTGACCTACGACCTGGTGAAGGATTTCTTCGTGGGAAACAAAATCCTAGCAGGTAACTTCCTCGTGTGGACTCATCCCAAACGTGTCTGCGCGTTTATAACTTCATCTCGGGGAGTCTGTGGCCACATCGGTTATTTTTTTAAAGCAATTTTTGTACATGAAATGTCACTTTTTGAGAAATGCAAAAAAAACCCCAAACTTTAAAAGCTGAGCCCTATTCATTTTTGCCTACACTACTTTTTTGGCTGCTACCGAAAAAAAAAAGAAATGAAATGCAACTGTATTTTTATATCAGCATAATTCTCATTTAACGTTAGTGGATGTACTTTGGTTAGACTCTTGTGCTTCACACAGCAGCATTCAGGAAATCTATCCACCACACCCTCTCTCCAGAAAGGCTGATTTTGTAGCAAGTTCATCACTGCTTTCCCTACCAAAACAAAAAGCAAAAACAAAAGTATAGGTGAATCTACAGCACAGACAGACATTGAAGTTCTGCTTTGATGACGACCTTACTGCAGCTCAAGTTCAGTGATGGCAGGTGTTCGGTCCAGGCAGCGCTGAGTACTCTGAGCTCCCCTCTCTACAGCCTACAGCATCCAGGCTTTCAGGTATTGCTTGAAAGCAAGCCACCAATTCCTCCGTGTCGTTGCTGCTGATCTAGAAAAGCAAAGAGAATGCTGTGAGGTGGGGAAGTGGTAGAGCCCTCTGCACCTCACACTGGGTCATGGGTCACATTTTCCCAGGATGCCCACATAGCAGACGTGAGGCCAGGACACACAGAAGCCTGAGTTGGTTTCCTGGAGCGTTTGCTATCCGTTATCCATGTTCTAGTGACCATCTTTTCCTAGCACGGGTGTAACCTTACTTATTCCACTTCATGTATGCAGATGACCTCCTGTTGTCAGCAGGTTTATAAGGACGTGACAGATGACAGGTGAGGACGCCCTCCCCCACCCCCAGTCCGATGTTGACTTCTTTCATTCATCTCCTAGACGATGTCCCCTGCCACTTACTGTCGGCTCTTATCGCTGGATTCTCCGCAACACTTCTGTCGTCTCCGGTGGATGTGGTGAAAACCAGATTCATTAATTCCCCGCCAGGACAGTACCTGAGTGTGCCCAGCTGTGCCATGAGCATGCTTACCAAGGAAGGGCCGACAGCTTTCTTCAAAGGGTAGGGACAGGATCTCTGTTGTCTGTCGTGTTGTGTTTGGGGACACTGTTGTCTAGTAACAGTTGGCACATCGCTTACCGATCTCACTTAACCCGTGATGCACTTCAGCACAGGTGGCTCCAGTCCACCAATTCCTGTGTCAGGAAGTAAAAAGCTGGGAGAGAGACACTAGCTAGCCTTGTCCAGAGCTTCTTAAACATCAGGGCCCTTCCCCAAGACTGGAAATTCGAACATACTCTGTCGTGAGGTACAACTCTAGACCAGAGGGAGGTGAGAGGAAAAAAAGATTTGATTTTCCTATTTTGACAGCCTTTTAAAAATTGCAGTTAGTTTTTGTGTCGGGAGCGCCAGGGTTGAACCCAGGGTGGCTCTCTACTACCGGGATGCCTCCTTTTCAAAAATTCTATTAAAGCAAAACTAGAAAAAGTCATTGTTGCTGACCTAGAAAAATGATACAGAAGTTGCTACGGGTCTAGCAGACTGATAGACTATATTGGGCAACAGATAGAATTTTCCATAATGAAATATTCTATTGTACTGCAACTACCTTCCTGAGAAAATACAGTGTGAGCAAGGATTGTACTAGTAGCAAAATAGCAAAATTCCGAACCCTTTAAAATTGTAAGGTAGTGCCTCAGACCTTATAAAATAGGCACAAATGCACCATATGCATCATACAAAAAGCTCCAAGCACTTACTATATATATATCTATATATAAATATATAGATATATATAGATAGATATCATGTAAGTAGGTATGTGTGTGTCAGCAGTACTGGGGTTTGAACTGGCTCTTGCACTTGGCTAGGGCAGATGCATTACATCTTGAGCCATGCCTCTAGCACTTACTTATATGAATGCAAATGATATACATTATAAAGTTAATGGGACATGGATGTATGAGTTCTTTTTTATTGTAGTTGTACAAAGGGGTTACCATTCCAGCACATATGTTCTTAACCACTAATAGTATTTTTTTCAAATTAGGGGACCTACGACACTATGGATTCATCTTGAAAACATTATGCCAAACAAAATAACTCTTACACAAAAAGACAAGTGTGATGGGGCTTCACTTGGCCGAATGCACGAAGACAGGAAATAGCTGGCAGCCACCGGGTGGGGGCGGGAGAGGGGGTCGCGGAGCAGGGACAGAGGCTCACAGGGGGATGAGAGTTGTCCGAGGAGGGAGGCACCCATTGACGGCATCCATTTCACAGTGCGCTGAGCTGCGCATGTAGAAAGGGCTAAAGTGTTGTTTTATATATTTTTCCACAATAAATTATCAGGTATCTGCGAGTCAAGAGAAATAGATCAAGACTTATGGGATGGGGAAAACCTTTGAGGATTTTTTTTTATGATACTAGGGTTTGAACTCTGGGCCTTCTTTGCTAGGTGCTCTACCTCTTGGGTAGAGCATGGCCGCACCCTTTTTTGGCTTTAGATAGGGTTTCCTGTTTTTGCTCCGGCTGACCTCAGATCCTCTCACCTCTACCTCCTAGGTGTCCGAGACTATAGATAGTCACCACCATGCCGATCTTGGTGGGTTCTCATTAACTCCTTTCTTGCTCAGGCTGGCCGGGAACTATGATCATCTCAAATGTGGTAAACAGGATTGCCAGGGTTTGTTATTTTGAAACAGTCTAGGACACCGACTGGACACTATTTGGGGCAGAGGATAAATGAAAAATACTTCATTTAAATGGCAAGATGAGAAACGTAAAATGCCTGTACAGGAAGAGCTTCAAGAATTCCAAATGGCCAGATGGCTGGCTAGGCACCATGTTCACGCCTGTAATCCTAGGATACTAAGATCTAAGGATGCTCTGGCTCAAGTGGTAGAACACTAGCCTTGAGCAAAAGCTCAGGCATAGAACCCAGGACCTGAGATTAATTAAGCCCCAGAACCAGAGCATGTGCACGCATGTGCACACACACACAGTGCATTCCAAAGACACTCATGATGGCGCCATGTGCTTTTCTAGATTCATGCCTTCCTTCCTGCGACTGGCATCCTGGAACGTCATTATGTTTGTGTGCTTCGAGCAGCTCAAACGAGAGCTGACCAAGTCCAGGCAGACTGTGGACTGCACCACCTAGGCAGCCCGGGGCCTGCAGCACCCAGGAAGCCCTGCACTGCCTCCCCTGTCGACAAACCCCACTGGAGCTCACCCTGCAACGCCCAGTCACCGCATCCGATTGACTATACGGGGATTAAACTGTGTGACTGAAGAGGAGGAACACTCACTATCACTCCAACTGTTGGAAAACAGAAGCAAATATTACCATTTCCTTTTATTTATTAACCAGTTTTCTGTTCATATATTCAATAAAGTATTGCTAATACCTTTTAAGGTCGTCATTTAGGGTGCACGCCTGGATTTGACGGTGAGGAATAAAGTGAGACCATGAAACTGCCCGACAGCAAGCCCGGGCTGTTTGGGGGGGGAGGGGGGGTAAAGCTGCGCTGCACGGTTGTCCTCTTGTGGCATGAGACTTGTGGCTGTGGCTAGTTTAGTCACACGATCTGTCAGGGATGAAGTAAATCTTCGCATCCTTCCACTGAAGCCAAGTGATTTCTGTATATTCTAATTCCTCTGCAGCAGCACGACAGAAAATGAAACTAAGTGACTTAAAAAGGTGTGGGGAAGACAGAAAGACAGAAAGGCTTACAAGTTTAACATTTTTATTTGCTCACTTAACATCACAAACAAAATGACATCACACTTCACACTACGACATTTACTTAAAACTCAACTGATTTATCCAAAGTAGACAAAAAGTTAATTTAAGTTGCCAACTGGGCAAGAAATTTTCCTCCAGGGAACACTACTGCTTAAATACTGAAATACTTGTAAGAAAAACACAGCACTGCCCTCTAGCAGGAATGTGGCAGCTAGGTCTTACCTACACATTTTTAACTTTTCTCATCAGAAGCCAAAGACAGAAAAAAAAAAAAAACAAAAACAACTCATGGCTTCCCTTGGTGTACTAACAATTCCATTAACTTTCACCTAAAAATTGTTGTGTGGAGAGGTTCACAGATTTAAAAAAAAAAAAAAAAAAGGAAATTAAAGCTTCCCTGGTCTTGTTCACAGAGAAGGTATTTACTGTGAGAAGTTACCTGCTGGCTTCTACTGTTCCAAGGATAATAACACTGTAGTCATCCCAGCCAGCCTTCCTCTCCTGTGCCCGGCACCGCCATCTTCCCTGTTCTAGAAATAAGCCACCCTCCTCCACTCAGATGAGGCTCAGCCTCTGAGTGAGTCTCTGACCAATTCTATTCCACTGAATGTTCTCAGAGAAGTCAGACAGTAGATGAACAATTTTGTGAGCACTGGAATAACAATAAGGAGTTCCTCCATTTTCACATAGAAAAATACATATAAATCCAAGTAGCTCTTAAAAGTAGAAAAAGATCAGGATGGGTAATTTTAAGAAAGCTTCTGATTTTGGAAGTATAAATAGTGCCAGTTGAAGACACAGATTTAATGTGTAGCTATAGTTCCACATTTATTCACAAGGGGGTCACAGATACAACCCGATTTCTCCCAAATCCTTAATGATTGTCTTAGGAAACATGGTCAGACTTTTACAGCTTTCCTGTCTGGTGCCTTTCTGCAAGCTGCACATATGGTGTCTCCCTTCCATACTGACTCCACTTCCTGGATGCGAATGCAAATGTCATTATCCTGCTACTTTAATCCCATCATACTCTCTTACTACCCTGACATTTTACTAATTACAGAAAGATCCTAAATATGGATTTTAAAATGACATAAGAATCTGACATACAAGGTAGAGTAAGGATGGCATGAACAATAGTTACACCATTATTCCTTTTCTGCCTATCAGCATCACCTGAGTCAGAATTCTGCCACACTCTGTGCACAGCTAGTGGCGGCTTGCCTTGTGGATGTCCGAATTTCTAAATCTGTTGGTGGATTTCAGATCAAACTCTCTATAAATGGCTAATGATTACTCTGAGCAAAACCAAACAATCTCTGTAATGTACAAATAGGTGGATTTAATGAAGCACATTACTGAGAAAACCTTATGATATTTTCTGATCATCATTAGAATTGGTTTTTTTCCCCTCCCATCTCTGAAAGGGGAAAAACTTATGTGAGTAGAACCCTTCTGTGCTTCAAGCACTTTTATTATGCAGACTAATAAAGATTTAAATTACTTCAAGATCTCAGCTATTCAAAGATCAAAAACTAAACGTAAGTATTTTTAGCACTAAATTAAAGACAAACAACATTGCTTTCCATGGACTACTAATACCTTATACAATGAACTTCCATAGTTAATGCCTGATCTGGCTCGGATTTTGCTACACATCCTGAAACTCTAGCTAGATGAGAGAGAAAGCACCAGAATGTTTTTTGTAAGTAAATATGTTACCAAGGTTGAGAAGTTCCCCACGGGACATCAAGTATTACATTCCTGTAACAGTGGAAAGCTAAATCACTACCATTATAATAAAATGAACCAAGTTTTAAAAATACTTTCATCTTACAGAGGAAAAAATAATTTTAATCCATGCACTTCAAGGTATGTGTTATGTAACACTGCATCTGTGGGTTTCCCACTGGACGTTTGCTCTCTCTTGTCTCTGACAAGTCTGGAGACTGAAGCTCTTCAACAGCTATGAGCAACAGAAATAAAGTATGAATCCTGCCTGTCACGCCTGATGGACAAACACCCCATGAAACAATGTGCAAGCATCGTTTAAGTTACATGTGAACCAGGTTTCTTTCCCTAAGATGTAAGGAGACCTCAGCCACTGGATGAGCTTTCTTATCTTTAAGTTCTTCGAGGCCGACTGGCGATGAGGAGAAATGTCCACAGCACACCAAGAACTCATTCCTATGAGGTTCTCATCACAGCACATGCTACCTCCTGAGCCCTGAGGAGAACAACGCTCTACAAAATGCACAGTCAGCATCCTCAAGCTGTTAACAAGCCCATTCAGTTCAGGTCCAAAGTCATTTCCAGAAACACCAGGACGTCAAAAGCCAAGTTACCGGCAGTCAATACACCTAGGATGCTTAACCAAGGCTTATGGAAGCTTTCCTTTTGCTTCTCAAAACAAACTTTCTTTTGAAAAAAAAAATGAGATTTTTCTTGGCAATATCATTTGCTTTTCATAAACACAGATAGGTTCTCACAGCAAAGCACTAAGGTTCTTAACTGAAAAAATGCAAAGAAGCTTATTAACAAATGCTTCTAAGTCTTAAGGAAACAGTCATACTTTAAAGCATGTTATTCTAATACAAATAAGATGGTCACCAATCCTGCTATTCACTCATTTCCCATAAGTAATCAGAGAAACCAAAAGAGAGGCCACTATTCCCACGGTCCCCCTCCCCGCTCCTGGCCATCTCCAGACTCTGGTTGCTACCAGTGATGAGGGGCTGGGATGGAGACAAAGGACCACAGAGGAGGACCTGGTGCTAATCGGCCCCGAAGCAAAAAGAATGCAAAGCCAATGAAAAAAACATGTATTTCTGGACCCAAACCTAAAATCCTTGAAGAGCACTGAAAAACATCTCAACTTGATAGCTATCGCACATCAAAAAGATGAAAACAGATTTGAACACAATTTCATCAACCAAGTGACAAATACCTGATTTATACTTTGACATGAATGGGCTAAGTCCTAAGTTCCCGACTGCAGTGGTAAGACCCTACAGAGGGGTCTTTGGAAGGATAAGGTACCTTTGGAGAGCAGTGTATCAACATAAACTGTAAACATACACTGATTGTCCACTAGCTTTCTTAAATAGAAATTCTGAAGAATTTTTGTAGGAAATTATATATAAGAGTGTAATTGATCAGACAATTTCTATTACAACGTATAAATTCTGTTGTGTGTGCAAAAATGTGGTAGAAATAGAAGCTTCTATGGATGGTTTATATTTTTAAAGTAAGTGCTACATTGCAATCCATTAACAGTCTTTTAATCTTTTCGTGAAACTTCTCTCTATATAGGTTGAAATACATAATGCTTTCTGGTTCTTCTTCAAACCAAAACTTGTCAAATTCATAGACAAGATAACCTGCAATAAAAGAAAAAACATGTCACTCTCATTAATAAAATTATAAACCACTCAGTTTTAAAAGTAACTACCCCCTTACATTCCATATTAGGATGCAATCATCAAAATAGCATTAAAAGTATTAGGAACTTGCTGTTTTCAATGACTTTTCTCAGCACCAGTGACTTTACAAAACTGCACCTGCCCAGTTTCAGAGAAAAACTTAAAAAAAGAAAATTCCATTTCAGTAAGATTGGTCACAATGTAAACACTATAGTTAGAAACTAGCCCATTCCAAGACTACATACAGCTTCAAAAATTCAATTTGATAAAGATTTCAGATTGATCTTTTGGTATATGCTAAACCAGAATTTTGACAAGTAGGAAATGTAAGAAAAATCAATGAAGCCTATGGAAAAATTCCATTTGCTTCTCAGCTCTAAAAGATGGACTAAAGATAGCAGTCTTATTATTTTTAAATACTATTTTCTATCTTTGATTGAAAATGCATTTGGGGCCTAGATTCAGACAACTGTGTATGGACAGAAATTACTCACAAATGTACAACTGAGCAGGGGCTCTCCCTCAGCTCCATCTCTAATACAATTACAGCGAAAACTTTGGAAATTAATACACATTGTGGCCAGAAGGGGGAAATGCGACAGCTGTCCCGAGCTGCCTAGTATGCACTTGCAGGGAGAGACACTGGCACATTCCTAGCCAGTCCTGGTTTATTTCCTCAGATTTATCTGTGTTTACATTCATTGCATTCATCCGTGGGTTCTTTTAGTTCTGCTTTTTGAGACTACTATGTGATCCCAGGCTGGGCTTTTACTGGAGCCCTCTTGCCTCAGCCTCTGGAGTGCTGGGTAACCGGTGTGCAAGACCTGCAACAGCCCAGTCAAGAAGACTGCCATGACTGTAGACTCTGAGTGTATGTAAGTGCATGAACGCATGTGGTGTGCATGGGGGGTGTGTGTGTGTGTGTGTGTGTGTGTGTGTGTGTGTGTGTGTGTGTGTGTGTGTGTGTGGCCAAAACTAAGTCTGGAAGGATACCACGGCTCAGATCACACAGGGTTTATGAATGAGGATCCTCTGAAGAACTCTGTGAGTGAAATGGCTAGATTTTCATTTTAAATAACCCGACATCCTGTGTGGACAATTGAAGAGTTTCAACACTACAGTAATCAAATAACAAAGATGGAAGCTACCATGTAGTTCCACGTGGGAGGGAGAGGCGCAGACAGATGAAGAGAGACTCAATATGTAGACAGGAATGAAGGGGTAAAGGCGGGAGGGCGATGGCGGACTGTGACATGGACACCTTTGACACAGGCTGAAGTTATGATCCAACCATGCATTAGGGAAGGTTTGCCATATCCCCACAACACGCAGTAATGTTCCAAAAACACAAAAAGATCAAGGAAAGTAGAGCATGAGGCTCAGTGACATGTAAACTCACTGCTCGCGACAGCTTCAGATAGTGAACTGGTTCAATAAACCCTCACTATCCCACTGCTGCCCCCATACATGTTAGTGACAGTAACAACTGTGTGGGCGCACTGAATGGGGCCCAGCCTGCTACAGAAAACCTGGCCTTGAAAAACAGGAGGTGAAGTTTAAAATGATTTTTCTTACAAAGTAACAAAAATACAGACATTCTATTCAATGTACATTATATAAAAACTGCACTACGTCCGCTGAGGCATGGACGGGCGGGGAGGACGACGCGAGGGGTGGTGACCAAGACACCCGGCATTTGGGGCCCACACTGAAAACTCTGTGCAACTGTTAATTAAAAAATACTAAAAAGTCAAGTCGCAGGGGCTGGGACGGTGGCTCAGTGGTAGAGTGCTTGCCTTGCATGAGGCCCTGGGTCCGATTCCTCAGCACTACATAAGCAGAAAAAGCTGCAAGTGGCACTATGGCTCAAGTGGTAGAGCGCTAGCCTTGAGCTGAAGAGCTGAGGAACAGCACCCAGGCCCAGAGTTCAGACCCCACGACCAACCAAAACAAAACAAAACAAAAAATCAAGTAACAAAAATAATCGTTAAAAGTCTACACCTTTGATTCCAGAGCACTCATTATAGATTTAAAAAGAGAAAATTCATTTTGTAGCAGGCTAGGAAGTGAATGTCTACAGAAAATCTGTATGACTGCTAAATCTGTACATGTAGTACTTGCCTTATCAAATTCCTTTTTATGAGTAAATATAGAGTGAAGTAAAAAATACTCTTAGAGACCCATGTACTATTATTTTCTTAGCCTTCAAAGATCTTACATAGTACATATAAGTATGAAGCTTTCTCTGTTGGTAGAGATAGTAGAGGAAATCCATTATACCTTCCTTACAGTTTGACAATTCTCTAGTGAAATCTAGTATTAGCTTGTTGTAATACTCACAGTAAAACTGATGGAAGTGTTCCATTGTTGGCATACCAGGAACAAAGTTGTAGAGATGAAACTTCAATGCTTCACTCTTCAGTAAGCTATAAGCCATCTCTGTAAGATTGATTCCAACTATTGCATAAGAATACCTATGTCAGAAACATTACCAGTTATACCAGCTAGCCAAAAAGCTCACAAAATAAAGTTAAAGTTAGACAAGGAATTGGGAAAAAGTGAAGGAAGTTTAACATGGATTTTACAATAACCTCTACATAATATTTAAAAAAAAAAGGATGGATCCAAAACATTTTTTTTTCCCTAAAGCTTCTAGATAGAAGCTAAGAAACAAAAAAATAATTTGTTTATATGACACATAAAAAGAAAACTACATTCACCAAATCTCATTGATATACTGGTATTTTCTTCTCCCTTCCCAACGTATTAATTTCTAACATCTAACGTTATTATGATTTTTCAGGATTATATATCATCAGAACATAAACATAATGATAAGAGCTAATAATTTGACTTCAATTTGCATTTCACTTTATAATTCTGAAGCTATTTGTCATTTTGCTGTTTCAAAACTATTTTCTATTCCAAATTTCAAGTGTATTCCTGGAGAAAAAAAAAATCTCCATTTTATAAACTATCTCTTATGACAAAGATTTATAGAAATAAATGTAAAATTCACTTGTGATCACAATCTACTTTAAAAATAATGTGTCATATAACTACCTTACACAGTAAAGCATATCAATTAGAAATTAGTAAAAGCATATCAATAGAAATACCGTGAAAGACCTTTAAACCATGGTTATCTTAATGCCAGAGACAAGTTTCTTTAACCTGTATGCAGCTTACCCTAATTTTGGATGGTTTGCGCGGGAAAGAATCTGATGAGCCTCCTTGGTGTACTTCTCACTGAAATACCTACAAGTGTTTAGAGACAATCATGAAAAGGCAGCAGGCCCCAGCTTCAGACACCAGAGCAGGGGGCACTGTGAGGAGGATAGCCCTGGCTCTCGGGCTCCACCCACCCCCACCTCAGGCACTTGTGTGACTCACAAGATGTCCTGGGTCAGTATTTAACCTGGTGGATCTAGCCTGTTCAGCAAGACCATAGGCTCTAGGCAAGACTTGCTTTAACTACAAAACTGCCTAAAGAGACTTCCAATCTATGTTTAAAAACAAAACAAAAAACAAAAAAACACCACCTCTACAGAGTTCATGTTTATTCCATCTGTATAAAACAGTCAAAACACACGTTTTGCGTGCCCTGCCTCTCACCTCAGCCTGCGCCTAGCACTGCCAGCAAGTCTGCTTCGGCTCATACCATTTTCAGTGCACTCAAAAGAAAGCCAGGATCCTTCTTTTGCACCCCAAGCCCCCCAAACCTTACTACTTGGCCAACAGTCCAGTTAATACACCGGCAGTAAAGCCAAAGAATTAGCAAAGAATTAGCAAAAGAAAAAACCAAAAAGCCACCTGTTTGTAGGCTTACATATATCCTTTTGGTGTACATCAGTGTAAACTTTTTGAGTTTGTAAAAACTGGGAAAACTTTGGGCTCACCTCACATGTGGTAGTATGTACACAGGTACAATAAAATTTTAACAAAATACCTAGTTTCTTTGATCCTCAAATTAATCTGTAAGTCCACAATCAACAGAGTCCTGCTTAGTTTAAGGCTCTCCTACATACTCTTAAGTTTTCTACTTTAACCCTGAGTTGACTCTAAAATGCCCTTAGTAGGCTGTTACACTTAAAAAAAAAATTGTTATCTTTCAGTTGTGATTTAACAAAGCAGTCTATGAATTTCACTCCTTTCTACACACAACTCCTTATCAGCAGTAAAACTACTCAAAGCAGTCAATCTGCCTTGGGTATGGTGGTTCATGCCTGTAATGCTGTAATGCACTCAGAAGACTAAAGGATCATGAGTTTAAGGCCAGCCTGAGCTAAGAGTATCAAATAAAAAGAGATGGAGTCCACACAGGCCCTAGGTCAGGGATTTACATCACTTGTTAGCACAGGAGGAGAACAGAAAGAGACTTCCTCCTTGTATCTGTTCTGATTTCTCCAAATGGAATCAGAGACCAGAGAGAAGAGGACACAAAATTCTTTTAAAAGGAGGCCAGAAGGAAGAAGAAAATCTGTGTGTGTGTGTGTGTATGTGTCTCTCTCTTTCTCTCTCTCTCTCACACACACATATGCAGTTCTGAGGTTTTCACATTACGGTCAGCATGTCAGTAAACACTGGCCCTGCAGTTATTAAACCCAAGAGAGTCTGAAACAATGCTTTCAAGAATTTCACTGGATGGGAGATGGTGTGGAATCACTGGGAGAAGAGAGCGTCTATTCCACTTACACCAGGTTGATCAAGCCCAGGATGCCCATGCCTCTGAAGTCAGTTTTGGGATCGTCACCCTGGAAACCAATGTCAGCCCACTGCTTGGAGATTCTTGACTTCAACTTACTCGTGGGCATCAGAAGATTCCAGAGCTGTAAGAATATGCTTGCACATTACAAATAATACTGGTGGTATTAATTTGCCAAGATAATTTTTTCTCATAACTTAATCACATATATATATATATATATATATATATATATACATATATATATATATATTACTTTCAACTGAAGTTTTGTAGACAAATTATAAATTCAACAAAAAAATAGTTTAAGAACTTTAATCATCTTAAGTACTGTAGCGGATTTATTCCAATGAAAATGACTTTTAGGTTTTGAAAAGGTAGCAAATAATACCCAGAAATCTAAAATAATGTCTTTATTCATAATTAAAACCCTTATGCTAGAATTGCTAAACTGCTTGCTTAAGAACACAATACTAAGCATGAAGAAAAAATGAAAGTTCTGAATAATCTTTATTTATCTTAATGTTTAATCTATCATGGCATTATTTGGCAATTAACATTCTGTGAATCCCAAAAGATTTCAGAGCATCAAGATACACCAAGCTCACAGTATAATTTATATAAAAACTGGAGGGAAATCTGAGGCTGGAGACTCACAATTTTTGGTTGAAAAGAATGTTCTTTATGGATTTATAACCAACTTTAGGATTATAAGCATTAAAATGAAATTTGAATATGTTTTAATGATATTTATCAATAAGTCATAAAAACTGGCTAAAAATTGTTCACATTCATGAAATCAAGTATGAGAAAATTTTCCAAGAAGCAAAGAAACCAGAAAGTTTAACTAAGCCTCTGGAATGTTCCTAGACTGTACTCAGGTCAAGACTAATTTCTCCAGTGTTCAATCACTTAAATACAGAAAATAATAATTTACCTTGAGGAGTAGCTTCTCATGTTGTGCATTATCAGAATCATATGGCCTTTTCCTCACATTTTCTACATCCAAATAGAGCTGTTTATATCCTGTTATCTGCAGTAAGCATGCTCTCATGCAGATTTTAAAGCTGAAATGATGAAATGATTATTATTATTTTTTAATCAGACCCTCTTATCTTTGTAATGTCTGGCACAGTTTGTGGCTCCTATGTCTACTTAGAAAGCACATCCTGGCTCTCAGGAGGCATCAAGAGCCTCCTTAAATAGCAAACACTGCATAGCATTGCCTAGGACATAAGACAGGCCTACAAAGACACCAAGCTGTGGCAGGCACGGCCAACCTGGTGATGGCAAGGCTCTGTCCTCTCTTGCCTTTCCTCTGGGCAGTCCAAGCATTCCCAGATCTTCATGCCAGGTGACACTGACACACCTCACTTCCATGTAGTCCACAACAGGTTGTCTCTTTGCCCAACACCCTATCTCTCCTGAAGAAAACACCTCTTTCTAAAGTGAGCCTCTAAATCTATTAATGACTTCACGAGCCATTAGTTCCCCAAGCCAGAGCACTCCAAGTTCCGATCCACCTTCCCTGTCAACACCATACATCAGAAGGTCCCTAAGCCAATCTCTAATCTCTGAAATGTCCCTGAAAGCAATTCTCAAGTCACTAATCACCTGCTTTATTCATGGCTTTGCCATTTCTTGCTTGAATGATTCACTTTCCTAACTTCTTTCCTCTACCAGCTTTGCTCTAATCTTAAACACTTATCTGATAGTGGAGCTTGTAAAAAGACAGAAGACAACTCTAAATCTGTCAGAACAGCCTTGATGCTAGACAGTAAACCAACCTACAATGATCTGCCACCTCCTGTTGTGGGCTACTGAGCCCACTGCAGCACCGAGGGCTAAGGCTGGACAGAGAGCTCGGTGGGAGGACTGAGCAAGGCCCACACTGGAGGAAGACTTCACAGGAGGAAGACATGAAAACTCAACTCTGAAGGCCAAAGTTATTTAACCATGGGAGAGGAATGGCCTGCTACCTTGACCAAGGCAGAAGGCAGATTAGGAACAGTGAGGGCCTGGGAACCTGGAGCCAGGCTTCAGCTCTGCATCTGTCACTCACTGCTCGGGACCCCCCTCGCTGCAGACCTTGGCTGCTCACCCGCTGGGGTAAGGGTGAAGCTGATCAGCTCTGGAGCTCACAGCTGCACATGAGCCCAGACCCCACAGATTGTAAATGCTCAACCAAGAAGGAGAATGAGAGAGCAACACACCTCGTGTCCTTCTCAGGGTTAATATTCTTCACCTTCATTATATCCTTAACACATCTGTCCACTTCACTCTCAGCAACCCGAGTTGCTTTCTGTAAAATCTGTTTGTATGGAAGAAAGCTGAATGAGAAGAAGCCCTTAAAGCTGAAAAAAGAAGTGCATTTTACTTCTTATTTTATCCTATTTTATCTTCGGTGCTGGTACTGGGGCTTGAACTCAGGGCTTCTCCCTCCTGCTTGGCTTTTGGCTCACAGCTGATAGTCTATCACTTGAGCCACACCTCCAGTTCTTCAAAAACCTCTGTGTATGAAACACATACACATACACACACATATACACACAGGCACATACATACAGACACACACATATATACATACACACATATAAACACACATGTGTTTTGAGAATTATTTCTAGAGAGAGAAAATCTCACTTAAGTTTTCTTTATAGCAAAATCACTAGGCAGGACACTAAAAATAATTTTAAACTTAAAGTCTTTTTTTTTTAACAACAACTAAAACTAAGTTTCTGAGAATTAGTAGGGTTCTTTCTTACCTTATTCTTGGAGTATGTCAAGGAATTTTCTGAAATAATAAAAAAAGAAAGAACATTACCATTTACGTGCAGTTTTCAAATTATTCCATAAATACACTATAAAATAATAAAATACTATTAAGTCACTTTCAAAGTTGGAGAAGATACAATTTCTATATGAATCACATGGCAAACACTTTAAAATTCTATATTATAGTATACAGTATACAAAAGAATGTTTAATTCAAAAGATCTTAACCATAACATAACAAGCCAAACAGGTGACACCAACCTAGTTTCTTCAGAATCCTGTGTTTCAGTGAAGTCCCCAAAGTGTAAGAATAGCTCAGGTCCCAGATATTCATCTGAAGACTACAGTGAGTGCTGTCTACTATGTTCCCTTCCACTGAAAGCTGTCAGTAGTGTTGAGATTTAAGGCACTGGCAATAGTACAAGAACAAAAGAACAGGAGGTGGCGGTGCTGTAGCTCAAGTGGTAGAGCGCTCGCCTTGAGCTGAAGAGCTGAGGGACAGCGCCCAGACCAGAGTTCAAGCCCCACGACCGACAAAAAAAAAGAACAAAGGGACAAAGACTAGATTATCTGACTATCCTAAACCTAAAGAACAGGATAACTTCTCCACTTTTGGCTTCAAGAATGACATGCACATTTTCACTAGTCTAGTAAAAATTTTGTCTGGCACACACAATAATAAGTTCCTTTTGTAGGCAATTTGAACAATCCAAGAAGAATGTTTTTGTCCCAAAGTAAAGCTTTGTCATAAGTTCTTTCCCCACATTACAATACACATACCAAGCAGCCTGCAAAGATCTCTTATCAAAAAGTACTTTGTTCTGAGCAGTCCAAAGGGCAAGTCAAAAGAGCAGGGTATAATTTAAGTCAGCTTTAGGCTGTAAGAACTAGGGAAGTAAGTAAACCTCAATCATCCATCGCCCGAGGCAGCCTGTCATTCGACCAGTTACACACCAGTCATGCAGAATACCGTCCTCTCATTTCTCATCTGGGTAACACAAGTCATGATTTTCTACTTAACATAATATCATGAGCTGCAGGGGTGGTTTCCAGGTCCTCCTTATCCTGGCCAAAAAAAAAACAAAAACAAAAAAAGAGAGAGATGCCCAACACATTTCTCACCCATCTATGGTCTAATTTAGGGAATAAGTATTGAAAAATTGGCATATTTTAGAAGGCAAGAGAGTAGGATTGTTAAAACTAGAATGAAGGCGAAAATACAAGCCACATCTGGATTATAAACTCTCTACTGCTGCATTAAAAAGAAACACACAACATTAATTTTAATAAACTTAACTCAACAGGCCCAAAATACCATCATTTATAATTAGTAAGAACACGCACTGCATATAAGTAGCTATTAATAAGACATTTTTACAATTTTTTGGTGTACCAGGAGTTGAACTCAGGGTCCTGAATTTTCACTAGGTCTTTTTCCTCCCCATTCATGGCTGGAGCTCTTCAACTTGGGCCATATCTCCAGTCTAGCAGTTTGCTAGTTAATTGGAGAAAAGACTCTCTGGGACTTTTGCCTAGGGTGACTTAGATTATCAGTTTCCTGAGTAACCAAGCTTTTGACCTTCTTTTCTTATATAAAGGCTTTGAATCCCAGTGTGTACCTTATAGCACAGTGCATCTCAGACATGTCACATTTCAAGAGAGGAGTAACCAGCTGGCTACAGGTAATAGGACTGGACTGCAGATTTGGAGTCTTAATCTTCACATGGGGCATTAATCCCATATGGGATTAATGGGTATGAAATTAAGAGATGAATGAAGTATAAAACTGAATCTAGACCATGACACTCCTTCCAGCACTAGTCTATATTAATTTGTAGTTTTCAAAGGGATATGGTAGTCTCAATTTTTTTTCTCTACAACAATTTAATCTATAATCTGAAGAACTACTGATATATGGAAGAACCTAGACTAGATTCTTCTTTGCACAGATACGGACTTTGTAGTCAGGTTTTTGTTCTTTTCTTTATCTATAATGTAGCTTTAGAAATACAGAGACTCAAAGATTACCAAGTTTATGAAACTCAGTTTAAGTGACTTGTCCAGAATATATAAGGAATCCACTCTGCCTGTGGGAAGTGAGAAAAGATATTCGTTCTGAGTTAAATTTTTAGCAGTTTTAGGTATTTCTGTTGTAACATTACCTATCCTGTGTGTCCTCTGTGCACCCACACAGGTGTCAAAAATGCGCTGTAATTCACACTTTCCAGTCATCTGTCGTAAGAGCCATTTCATCCAAAATCGAAAAAAGTGCCCATAGAAGAACTCCCATAAAGAAATTAACATTCTTTCCTGGAAAAGGAAATATGTCAAGTAAGCTTAAATTTAAAATTTTTTTTTACTCTGTTCCACACACCGAATCTGAAATTCTGTGGAAACTATGGATTCCTGCGTCTGCTCGGTGTGTGTGTGTGGGGGGGGGGGGGGGGGGGTCGGACCTCCAGGCAAACGGTGCCAGGGTGCTCCGCAGCCTGGGCGCGGTGACCGCAGCCTGGGCGCGGTGACGGCCGGCCAAGCGGGTCCGGGGTCGCTTTCAGAAAGAAACCCTAACAAAAGGCGGAGGAGCTGGGCGGGTTCCCCGGCGGCGGCTCCGCGGGCGCGGGGCCGCGCGGGGCAGGCTTGCTCAGGCGTCCCGTGCTGGGGGTGCGGGGTGCGGGTGGCACTCGGGACGGGAGCGCGGCCGGGGAGGGAGGGCGACGCGCTGGGTGACCCCGGCGGGCGCGGGCGCCGGAGGAACCGGGAGCCCGGCTTTCATCGGGAGCGTGCGGGCTGGACGGACACCGCACCTGGCAGAACGGACGGTTTCCCTCTCGGTGGACGAACGGCAGAAACACCCAGCGGCTACTCCGGGAGGAAGTCAAAAACCCCGGGTCCCCGACCTCCGCTCTCGGTCCCGGGTAACTCCGGCCGGGGGACGCGGCGCCGGCGGGGGCGCCCGGGACGCGCCTCGGGCCCCCGCCCCCCGCGGCCCGGCCGGTCACCGCGGGCGCCGGCGTCTTTACGAGCCCCCCCCCCCCCCGCCCGCGCCCCGCACCGCGGACCCGGCGGCGGCCCGCCCGGGCCTCGACCGCGGAGAGTCGCCGCGCGAGCCCCTCGCGCGTGCGCGTGCGCGTGCGCGTGCGCGCGCGGTGGGCGGGAACGGCTGGCACAAAGCCCCGCCGACCGCCGCCGGGCCCCGCGCAAGCAGCCGAGGGGGAGGGGAGAGAAACAGCAGCCACCTCACAGGCACGCCGGAGGACCAGAGGGAAAGCCGCAGCTGCCTCAGTTTCCCCAACTGCAAAGAGCCGGCAACGGAAAGGACGCCGTTCGCAGACCGCTCTCGGCGCGCACCGCGACCCGGAAGTGAGGGCGTGGAAGCCCCGGGACCGCCTTCCCCGGGCTCGGGGCCCCGCCCCCTCGGCCTCTCCTGATTGGCCCGCGCGCTGCCTATCGCCAGCGGTGAAGGAGGGGGCGTGCGCAGTGCTCCGGTGCCCGGACGCCTCCACGGTTTCCCTGGCAACGGGGGCGGGGCGCCACGCCCAGCGCCAGCGTGGACTCGGGACGCGGCTCCGGAGGCCAGGCGCTGCCGCGGCTGGAGAGCCGGGGCTGTTGCCGCTGGTGACCCGGGGGTGCTGCGGGTGGAGGAGAGGCCTGGGCCCGGGCGCTGGGCGCCGAGCTTGTGACGGTGCCGCAGCGAAGGAGTTGGCGCGCGGGGCCCACGATTAGTAGTAAAGCGACACCACGGGGGAGGGCGCGCGCGGGGCTGGGCGGCGCGCGCGCGGGTCGGGGTCGGGGCCGCCGGCGTCACGTCGGGTGGCCCCCTCGCTCCCGCACCCCGCGCCCCATCGGGACCGGCGGTGTCGGGGTGGCCTGCGCCGTGCGGCGGGGCGAGCCTTTCCCGGGGCCCGCCGGGGCCCGGGCGCTGCTGGTCGGGCGAGGCGTGGCTCGGTCTCTGGATTCTCGACCCCCCCCCCCCGTGACCCCTGCTGGCGCCCCAAGCCCCGGAGCCACGCCGTGCCGGTGGACACGCGTCCACCTGAGGTTCCCGAGCGCCCTCCCCGCCTTCCGCCCCGGGTTTGTCCCGGGGTGGTGACCGGCCACGAAAAAGAAGTGCGGTCCGTGCACGTGTCCAAGGCCAGCACGGGAGCCCCGCATGTTGACAGACGAAGTGTGGCTTCCCCTCCCCCAAAATAATAATGTATAAGGACATAATAACAACTTATCAAACATTCTTTAACTGTTCATCACAGAAAAAGAGAGAAACCTCAAACACAGACTCGTACTTGATGGCCTGTTGCGCATCGGGGAGCGCCCCACAAAGGAATCAGATATCACACCAACAGCCAGGTATTTAGAATGTCAGATGGGGCGAGGTATTAGTGTTACCGTTAAGGGAAATGGGTAAAAGGGGTATTAGGGAGGACGTACGGTGTAATCAGCTCAGTAAGGTGACGTGATGGGCGTTAATGAGTAATGAAGGTTATCACGAGGGCATCTGGAAGAGGAGGATTGTAGACACTTCAGTTGGGAGGAACAGGAAGGAAACCAATGCGGCTAGAAAAGGAAGGGCAAGGTGGAGAGCAGACAAAAGACAACTACATGAAAAGTAGAATCCTAGCTGGGTGTTGTGGTATACACCTGTTTTCTCAGATATAGTAGGAAGCATGAATATGAGGCTCAGTGTCCAAACTGACTAGATAAAAAGCAAGACCCTTAAAAAGAACTACAGCAGCACCAGACACGGGTGAAAAGGAGAGGCTGTTAGTATCATGGCTTCCCTTGATCTAAAGTTTCTGTCATAGCAAACTAATTGTGACTCATTTTTGTGATAGAGTGGGATAAAATTACCTCGATCTCACTCAGCACACTTTTCTTGGAAGGAAAAGAAATATAATGTATGCTCTAGTAGTCTTTCATCACAGACATCTGACTTCTGCAGCTTCCTGCCACAATTTGATGAGACTGGAATTAGATATAATCACTGTAAATATCAAGCAATTCATTATAATGATGATGGCATTGTGACAAGGAGAAACTCAGATTTAAGGGTGGTAGAGGCAAATCCAACTAGATAGTTTATCACTCCAGCTAAGATTTAAAAATAAACTACCCTTGGGGCTGGGAAGGTGGCTCAGTGGTAGAGCGCTTGCCTTGCATGCCTGAGGCCCTGGGTTCGATTTCTCAGCACCACATAAGCAAAAAGAAAAAAGCCGGAAGTGGTGCTGTGGCTCAAGTGGTAGAGCGCTAGCCTTGAGCTGAAGAGCTGAGGGACAGTGCCCAGGTCCAGAGTTCAGGCCCTACGACCGAACCAAAAAAAAAATAAACTACCCTTATCAGAAAATTTTCTGAAAATAACTTTAGTTTTCCTACAGTGTAAGTAATTAGTTATACTCCCTCTATGATATTGACAATTAAAAATGTCAGTGTCACACTGGCAATAAAAGGGAGGAACACACTGATTGTCAGGCTGTGACCCAAATATGTGACAGGGGAACCCAGGATTCCAGCACAATTCAAAGGTTTTAGGAAGCTGTTCCTGTAGAATCATGCAGATTATAGGTTTTGAGTGAAACATACTACTGCCACCTTGTGGCAACCACTAGGATTCTTGTTAAAGTTCCCGTCCCAGCATGCTATGGGTCTGGCATTAAAAGCAGGACCCTTCCCTTGACACTTAAGGGTGTTAAGTTACTTTAAGGTACAAACTACCTATTATGTTCTTGGTAATATCAGGAAGCTGTTACAATAAAGAGGAAGCTGAGCAAAATTCTCCCAAGAATTCATGCCAACCCAAGTCTCCGGAGCATTAGGACAGCTAAGCAAGTAGCATCTCTGCTTCAGCAACTACCAGCCCACTGCTGTTGCAGAACGCTCTACATCTCAAGATGCTTTCTACCAAAGTACAACAGCGTCTCGGTTTATCAGGAAGCTACCCAGTACGGTAGGAAGTTAGTAAAAAAAAGTCTGCTAGTGACTCTCACAATCCGGGGGAAGTCCGTGTAACCGGCTGAGAATAATGAGAATAATGCACCTGATTGACAATGAAGGAAGGTCTCATTTTTAAAATGTTCACCCTGGATAACATTGGAAACAGTCGTAGACAGCAAGTGGCAGGAAGAGGAGCATCCTGAGGAGTGGAGGAAGCATCCCCAGGGGGTGGCAGGGATGTGACGGGGACAGCGATGCCGCCATCTGTGGCCAGCGCCGCCTGCTGTGCCTCCAGCCAAACCAGAGGACGCGCTGGTTTCCAGAAGCCCTCGAAGCAGTGAGGAGCCGCGATGCCTTCTACCCGAGCCGTTCCTGATCGGGGCTCGGGGGACACGTCGGAATCGTGCCCGGATTCCAGAGGAAAACTGCAGTCCTCGCATGGAGCGAAAGCCACGGCGCGCTCAAAGCCTCGCACGTGGAGGGATTCGCTTCCCCGTGTCCGGGGCGTGTCCGGGGGCGTGTCCCGGGAGTGTCCAGGGCCTGTCCGGGGCGTGTCCAGGGCCAGTTGGGGGGAACCCGTGTCCAGGGCCAGTCCGGGGCATGTCTGAGGCCTGCCCTGGGCGTGTCCTGGGCATGTTCTGGGTGTGTCCAGGGCCTGTACGGGGCCGTGTCCAGGGCCAGTTGGGGAGGACCCTGTCCAGGGCCAGTCCGGGGCATGTCTGAGGCCTGCCCTGGATGTGTCCGGGGCGTGTTCTGGGCGTGTTCTGGGTGTGTCCAGGGCCAGTCCGGGGCGTGTCTGAGGCCTGTCCTGGACGTGTCCGGGGGAGCGTGCCCGAGGCCTGTCCGGGGCTCTGCCCGTGCCCGGCGGACGGGCGGCCCCGCGCGGAGGGCGCGCGCCGCCCCCTCGAACTCAGGGCCGGGCCGCGTCCCCACCGCCAAGCTGGCCGCCCCCCGCCGCGGGAAGGGCGACATGAGGACCAAGCACGTGAACCTGCTGATCGCCCTGGCGGCCTTCATGCTCTTCAGCTTCTCCTGCTTCTGCATCTCCAGGATGACCCAGACCAGTAAGCAGCTCCCCCACCCCACCCCGACCCCACAGCCCCCCGCGGGGCGCGGGGCGCGGGGCTAGGGGGGCCGCCTGCCCGCCGTGGGGTTGGGCCAGCCGCGGGGCTCCGGCCGCCCCGGGCCCCCAGGCCCCGGCGGTTGGGGGTAACGGGCGCCAACCGCCCTGGCCGCCTCCCCCCCACCCGGTCCCATCCTTCCTCCTCCCGCCCTGCCCTCCGGGTCAGGGTCCGTCCCCCCCCCCCCCCCCCCCCCGTGCTGTGAATTGCACCAGGACCCCCAGCTTTCCGTTGGGCGGTCGTGAGTCACCCACATAACGCTGAAGTCAATAAACACGACAGCCGAAAACCCACATGTACCGGTCAGTGCTCCAAAGTGAGGTTCACAGTGTCCGACTGGACACGACATCCAATGTGTTTTCAGCTGTGGTGTCTAAGACCTGTGTGTTGGCCCACGCCTGAAATCCTAGCTGCTCTGGAGGCTGAGATCTGAGGATCAGAGTTCAAAGCCAGCCTGGGCAGGAAAGGCTGTGAGACTCATCTCCAATAAACCACCATAAAGCCAGAAGTGGAGCTGTGGCTCAAGTGGTAGAGTGCCAACCTTTAGCAAATGAAGCTCAAGGGACAGCACCTAGGCCCTGAGTTTGAGCCCCAGGACTAGAGCCAAACAACAACACAAAAATCACACACCCACCAACCTGAGCCCAAAGAAAGTTGGTTGACATAGGTAAAGAAAAAGCCAAAGCGAAAGCTGGCACACACATTCAATGAATGTAGAGCTGTCACCAGCAAACGGAAATTTTCCTGTCATTCTGTCTTGTGCCCCCGGCTTGCAAGGTGGGACCTCTACCCCTTGAGCCACGCCTGCAGCATGCTTGTCCCCTGGTTGTTTACCAGGTGACCCTTGCACTTGTTCTTAGCTGTGCCTCCTACTCCTACCCCTTCTAAGATAATCTTCTCTTGGAAGTGCGCTGGATGTGGGCATAAGCCCCTGAGTTCAGACCAGTACTGCAAAAGGTGCTCAGGGGACTCAAGGCTTCTGATGGTGATTTGTCTCAAACCTTAGCCAAATGGTTTGAAAAAAGTTGTCCTACTCAATCCTGAGTGGCCATGCACACCATGTAACTATCTTAAACATGTAGATTTAACTGACCACAGAGCAGTGCATAGGCAGCAGCGGGGCTGACAAATGAGAGGACGTGGGGAAGAAAGCAGTCATAATATTCAATGCATATCCATTGAAACCAGGGACGCTGAGATGCGGGCTGGGGTTAGGAGGGCTGGGGAGGATGAAAGGGGTGATCAAGATGATGGAGATGTTGTGCCAGACTGGTTTATTGAATAACTACCCCTTTGTACGACTACTTACAGATAAAAATACAGTTTTAAAAAAGAATGATCTATGATTAGAAATGGTGTCTTTTAACGTGTCTGTGGGCCTGTCTCTGTAAATACTGCTTCCTCTAGAGACAACGCTTGCTCGGCACGCTTTACCTAAATTGATCCTTCAGGGACTGTCCTGCACAGTGGAAATGCAGTTGGGTTGCGTCACCCATGACATACCAACTCCAAACACACGAGCAGAGAAAATATTGCCTGGGAAACCCTGGTCACAGAGGGCTTTCCAGGCTGGGCTACACCCACTCTCAGGTTTGTCAGCATCCTGAGTTTGCACTGTGTGAACAGGCCAGGATGCTGCGGCTAGTTACAGTTCTTCCGGGGAAAGCACGCTTCAGTTTCTAAATTGGGCCTGGTGTTTGACAAGTCCAAACCCTTCATGCATTCAGCACCTGCTTGTGGAAGAGCCGGAGCTGGCTGGGCGCAGGCGGCTTGGGGATTTCATAGTTTACAAAGTAAAGTCCTTGCTTTCCTTCAGTTTGCATCCTAGAGCACTCCTGAGACAGACCTTAACAAAAGGGGAATCCTTGGAGGATTTTGAGATGAGGAGCAACATTATACAATGTTTGCCACAGAAGAGGTCAGGTGGTAATCAGTGATACTAAAAAAGAAAAAAGAAGAAGATAAAGATGGATATTAATAACAGGATGGTTGGCAGGTTACCTGTGCTGGTACGGGGTCTTGAACTCAGGACCTTCCACTCTTGCTTGGCTTTTTTACTCAAGGCCAGTCCTCTGTTTAAGCCCCACTTCTACCTCATTAATTGGAAATAAGAGTCTCATAGACTTTACTCCCTGCATGGCTTCACACCATAATCCTCAGACCTCAGCCTTCTGAATAGATGGGATTGCCAGCATGGGTCACCAGCACCCACTCAGGACTGAGAAAGGACAACTTCTTTTCAAACCATTTGCTAAGGTTTGAGATAAACTGTTGTTAGAAGCTGGAGTACCCTTTGTTCCAAACTCAGGGCCTTGAGCCCAAGTCAGGTACACTTCCGAGAAAACATTATCTGAGAAGGGGTGGAAAAATTAGAAAGGATGGAAGAGCCAATGTGCTAAGGCAAAAAAAAAAAAAAATTAAAAACCACTAATAACCCAGCTTCCTCTGTATTACTATTTATAAAATTTAGTTCTTTCTAATCTCCTGTACATGTACATATATACCATATATTCCATATATATGTATATATACATACTATATACCACATAGATTCATATATGCAATCCTCATATATAGTACTTTCTATACTATATATTGAAGATATTTTGTTATGGAAAAGTATGTGATGCAGTCACTGAGTAAGCATGTATATCTGCCCCCCCCCCCCCCCCCCCCCCGCAGGCAATCAGTTGATTAATTGTAGGAACCATGTTTTGGAGATTAAGGAGAGCCTAATACGTTTAAAAAACACCAGTGAAAATAATCGCAAAGATCTAATGAAAGCCCTGATTCAGATGAAGCATGGTATTACTCGGAGAGAAGATTCATCACGAACCGCAGGTTTGTGCTACCTTTATGTTTATGTACAGTAATTCGTTTCCTCTAAATATGCTTTATTTCTGATCATCGGGATTTAATGCCTTCTGTTTTTAAGGCATTCCCTTTCAATGAATGTAAGTCAACCAGTGTTGGCTCTTTATTATGAAACATGCAAAACTCAGGTAACAAGAGCACAGACACGATCCCATTTTTGCCTTGACAGGCGTCTTTCTGAGTATTTCTGAACTGCATTCTCTCCGTATGACCCACCGAAAAGATGCTCCCAGAGAGGTCACCTCTGACCTCTCTTCTACCAGCACACCTCCACTCCACCAATAGGCGATCCCTTACATTCCCCATCTGTAAACCTATGCAGCATTCTCATCTCTACACTGGTTGGCCATCTTCAGGTCTCACCAGGATGATGCCTCACACACCGCTGGCTTTCCTCTGTGTTCTGTAGTTCCATTCTCATGTATTCACTTTAGCCCATCCTGAATATAAGAATTCAGTGGCTCCAAATTTCAGGATAAAAATGCCTGACTTGTAATCAAATCTTCCCCCCAACTTTTAACTCCTGGCAGCCACTGACCAATTAGCTCTCTCTCCCTGTAATATGCCCTCCCCCGCTCCCCAGATTCCAAACAAACAGTCATCTAGTGATGTAGCACACAATCCTTGGAGACTGGTTCCTTTTTTACTGTTAAGTAGCATTCCATTGTGTGGAGGTACAAGTAACACAAGTTTATTGTTTCAGCCATTGAGGGTCTACTATAGCGTCCATGTGTATGATTTTAGTAGGAAGAGACAGTTTCATTTTTTAAGGATAATATTATGTAAGTAGTGGAGTTGATGTGGCACAGGAAAAAGGTACATTTGACTTTGTAGACACTGCATGCCATTTTCAGAGTGAATGTACCAGGTTGCATTATCTCTAGCCGCATAAGCAGTTCTATTCACTCTGGATTTTTACAGCTAATCTGGTGTCAGGGTACCTCAGTGGTAAGCCGTAGTTCCCTAGTGACTAACAATACTGGGCATCTTTAATGTTTCTGTGGTATCGAGAAATTTTTATTCAGACAGTTGGTTTTCTTACTGAGTTTCAAGTGTTTGGTATATTATCTTGTATATATGTCAGATGGATCTACAATTGCAAACTATTTCAAAATACTTTTGATTCATCATTTCATTTTCTTGCTGGCATTCTTCAGAGAACAAATATTTTTACAGTGTATTTTGGTTTGGGGGACACTGATTATTTTTGTTCCTTTATCAAAAACCAGATTCCTCCAGAGAGGTGAAGATCTACTTTTACTTCCTGTGATCTGATCCATTAGTCGTGGAAAGATTTTTCTGTAGCGACACTGTTCTGTATTACATGTTGTAAATTTAAACTGGGTGGTGTGACCCCTCCAAGTTGTTTTGTTTTTGTTTAAAGTAATAAATGGCACAGATAGACACATTACACTTTCAGGTGCTGCAAAGCAACATTCTGAAGACTGAAAATGTCATGCTATTGCTCAGAGCAGCAGAGGACCCAGTGGTGGCCTGTCCCTGCTGGACTTCCTTCCCCTGGAACGGGCCGTCCTTTGGGCCGCTGGCACAGGTCTTAGAGCAAGGCTTAAATTGAACATGGCTCTAATCGATGGGGCAGATATTATTGTTAATCATCTTTGAGCTATATTTTATAGGCCTAGAATCGTGACAATTCACATTTCCCATTATATGCAAGTGTGGAAATAGCACACGGAAATCCCTTCCTTTGTATGGCCAATATTTGCTAATAAAAGAGTATAGTTCCCTTGACTAGCCTATTAATCTGTATATTAATATGTTAAACTTCATTTTAAAATTTGTATCAGAGAGAAACTATCGCAGTCTTTCAGCCAAGGAGGAAGGGGACAGATTGAGTGAGAATGTCACCACTGCAGCTGACAGATTCGAAGACATGAAGTTCTTCCTCCCTCACCTCCGGAAATTCGGTAGACTGTACCCTAACGTCGTCATTGGCAAAGGGAAAAAAGGAGGTAAGAATATTTCAAATCTGGAAGTTAAGTATGTTTGGGGATATACTTGCATGTCCAGCAGTATACGCTATCTCTACCATACTCAGATAGGTGGACCACCAGCCACAGTGCCATTGGATTACCAGAAGTCAGAATGTTCTGTGAGCAACTCAAATTCAGTGTCATTCCAGATGCTCTGAAAACAAGGCAATGTAAGTCATGTGTACATAGGGAGTTTTCAAAGTGCATGACAGATCTCTTCGCCTTGGGTTTGGTAGGAATTGTCCTTACCTGGTAGTTTTCCTGCTCCCCGTCTTTCTTGAGCCCAAGGTCAGCAGAAGGTTTGTGGAAGAGCTGTTTGGCCTCAGCAGACAAACGACAGGGAAAGGCACGAGAGTTTCAGAAAGCCCCGTGACATTGGGCCAAGGCTCAGAATAAACCCCATTGGTTCCAGTGGGTGAGCCCACAGTGGGAGAACATGGCCAGGCCCACTGGTTTCCTTGGTGACTGTCTGCCTTTGTGCTGTCATGGCAGACCGAGTGGTTGTCACAGAGACAGTGGCCCGAGACTCACAAACCTTACTATCTGGCTAGGTGCCAGTGGGGCTCGCCTGTCATCCTAGCTACTCAGGAGGCTGAGATCTGAGGATTGTGGTTTAAAGCCAGACCAGACAGGAAAGTCCATGAGGCTCATCTGTACCAAATTACAAAACAGCTGGAAGTGAAGCTGTGGCTCAAGTGGTAGAGCCCTAGCCTTGAGGACAAAAGCTTGGGGACAGTGCCCAGTGCCCTAGGACTGGCACAAAACAATAACAACAAACACACAAAAAGCAAAAAGATATCACTATCTACCCTTTCACTGGAAAAATTTACTGACAGACACCATAAGCAGGTCTTGGGCATTAGTAACATTCCATATCACGTGCCTATAGGGATTAACCATGTCTACTATATTGGGATGTTGGTGCCAGATGACACGGTTTAGCATTTACTAATGTTATCTTACTGTAGTCCTCAGACTGAGACAGTATATTCTTTATTTCAAGTAATCCCAGTACAATAAGGCATAGTTCCATGTCTATATACCTGAGAAAGCTGAGCCGTAGGGAAACCAAGGAACTTTTTGATCTCGCACTTGAGGTGTCCTGAACTGCATCAGATTAGTTCTTTAGAGACTCTGGAATGTCACATTTAAATGTTGTAGAAATATGTGCTTTGATGTATGAGTATAACACTGTATGCTAGACAAAAGCTTAAGTTTTCTGGAGGAGACGCTGAAACACAGCAGAAAAAGCATGTCGAAACCGTAAGATTCTAGACAGCAAGGAGAAGAGTAGCCTTGAATTAGCTGATAGCAGCAGAGGCCCTGAACTGAGGGAGAGGAAGGCCGGTGAGAGGCGATGGTACAGAGTGATTTCCCAGCTCTCTGAGTGTGTCCTGATCAGCACACAGGATGAGTACATCGACATCTTCCCTTTGAGGCCCTTTTGGTGATGTTTCTCAACTTTTGAGCAAAGACAATTGAAAGGTGATTTTGGCTCTGGTGAAACATGTCCTCGTGGAGAATCTCTTTCCTGTCTTCTCAGGTTCTCTGTAAGCCCTCCCCTTACTATTTTTGAGTGAGTGCCCTTGTGATTTCTTGCCTGCCATCAAAGCACATCTAAATGTTTTCTTATGGATTCATTATTGCTAGAGTCAATCTATTTTTCCTTCACTTCCCTGAGGCGTGCCTCTAAAATTCCTAACTGATCATGCGCAGCTTTTGCTTCAAATTCCCCAGGAGCCCTGGAGTGGGCCCAGGGTAAACTCAGCTGCTCTAAGGACCATCTGTAGAAGGTGGGTTTCTGCAGTGCTGAGCACTGCCTTTGGTGGCGAGAAGCCCCAGCTCCCGCCAGCTCATCCTCAGGTCACGTGACTCCCTTACCTGCCAGCCCATCCTCAGGTCATGTGACTCCATGACTTCCCAGCCCTTCCCACAGCTTCTGTGGGAAGTCTTTCCTTGCCCTCGCTTGGCCAGCTGCTGCTTTGTTCTGAGAGCTCATTAGCCCATAGGGACAGAATTGCAACCAAAACATGGGGCTCCCCCTGATAGTGCTAAATGAGCGGGTCACATGTGGGGGAAACGATCCATGCGCTTAGTGGGAATCTTGTTGTGGGGACAGGCAACCCACACCAAGAAAACGAAGGGGAGTGTTTGAAGGAAATGGTATCAAACTAACACGAGAGTACAAAGAATCAGGGGTAGGCAAAATAGAGAAAAGGCAGGAGGCAGATGGCGGGAAAGTGGAAGTTGGTCATCACGTGGAGGAGAAGAAATATGTAAAGCTGCCACAGCAGGAAGGTCTAGAAAAGAAATATATATACAGATTTGCACGTACAGTTGGGCTGGGGTTGTCAGTAGCAAAATAAGAAGAAGCCAAATGGAGAATGGTGAAGGGGCGGGCCATTAGCTTATTTACCCCAAGTTTAGTGACCCTGCTGGTGTCAGGAATTCTCTAAGTGTTGATGTATCATGGGGAGCAAGCCAGAGAGGCAGAACTGCACTCACTGAGTAGGCAGGGTAATGACAAGAGGGATGAGTGCCAGGAGAGACAGGGGAACATGTTCCTCAGCAGACAGAGGTAGTGTGAATCTGGCATCAAAATGGCTGCTTAGCCAAACCCAGAATAACGTGTGGAATTAGCCTGGAGGAACAGGAATGTTCTACCCAACAAGAAAGGGCATGTTCAAAGGCCCAGAGGTGATGTGCAGACAGTTTGGGAGGAGGAGAAAGTTCATGCAAAAGAGATGTCACAACTAGGTCATAAGGGCCTCAAACACACTTGGAAATATAGGTGTTTTTTTTTTTAAGATCCAAACTCAAGGGGAGCCAGGTCAGGAATTATATTCATAGAGGATCTCTCAGTTTCCAAGTTGATTTCTAATTTATGCTGTTCATAAAAAATAATGTTTGGTAAATTATAGTCTTTAATGTGAAAGTTGAGAGCAGGTGAGGTGGTGCATGCCTGTAATCTCAGCAACACAGGAGCCATAGGTAGAAAGATCTCGGTCCAAGACCAATCATGCACAAACATGTGGGTCTCTATTTGAAAAATAACTAAAGCAAAAATTGGGATTCTATCAAGTGATAGAATCAAGTGCTTAGCAAACACGAGGCCCTTAGTTCAAACCCCATACTGCCACAAAGAGAGAAAGGAAGGAAGGAAGGAAGGAAAGAAAGAACGAAAGGAAGGAAGGAAGGAAGAAAGAAAGAAAGGAAGGAAGGAAGAAAGGAAGGAAGGAAGGAAGAAAGGAAGGAAGGAAGGAAGGAAGGAAGAAAGAAAGAAAGAAAGGAAGGAAGGAAGGAAGGAAGGAAGAAAGAAAGAAGGAAAGAAAGAAAGAACAAAAGAAAGAAAGGAAGGAAGGAATGAAGGAAGGAAGGAAGGAAGGACAAAACCCTGAATGGGGGTTCCAGCATCTCTTTATGAAAAGCAGGAAAGAATTGGCCACTGTAAAATGGCATGTACTGAGTTAGACAGATGAAAGCTATAATAAATAGGAAGTGTGTGATTGTTGTGTCAAAATCTCCCCATCAGAAAACATGGCGCCCGCTTAATACCTTTAATATGATTTGCAGTCCGCTGCAAATGGGAGTTTCCTTGCACAGAATTGGGAGAGGTGCCAGAAGTAGGGTCCGTGATTTGCATTGTTTCTGTAATGCTGAGACCAACCCCCACGGGGGCTCGGTTCTGCTCCGTGACTGCGGCCATGCCCCCCGCCCCTGTCTCCTGTGCGCAGTGTCCTTCGCCCTGGGCATCCCCACAGTCAGCCGAGGAAACCACAGCTACCTGACCTACACGCTCACCTCCCTGGTCTCCAGGATGACGACCGTTGAGGCAGAGGACGCTGTGGTCATTGTCTCCGTCGCAGACGTATGTATGGGGGCCTGGTCCTCCTCCCCCGATGCCCCCCCCTTCCTCCCTCCACAGAGTCACCAGGCCAGTAGCAACTTTTAAAGAATAATAATTTTAAAAAAAATACATGCTTTGATGAGAAGAGAAAAAAACATTCAAATCTCTAAAGAAAACACAATGTGGGAAATACAAGTTGGCCAAATTTGAATTGCATTTACCTATGTAGGATCCCTGGACACTGTAAAATATAGAAATTATGTTATAAACAGAACTCTAAAATGGACCACTACTGTGATGAAAACAAAAGCTGCTTCCTCAATCAAAGATGGGCGTCCAAGTCCAGAGGTGCACGCAGGACTAACCGCCAACCATTGAAGGCCTCTGCCCCATGCCCCAGGGCCTCACCGAGAGTATCACTGCCCTGAGAGGAGCAGATCCAACTTCAAAGAGGAATCTGCCCAGGGATTAATAGCTTCACATCTAGGTCTAATGGCTTCAAAAATCTTTTAAGCCCTAATCCATGTATCTGTTGAAATTTTGAGTACCATAAATTTTCTGAAGGGGAATTTGGCAACATGTATCCCATTTACAACATATGGGACTTTTGTCTCGAAAATTCAAATTCCTTTGGAAATAACCCATCAAGGGTTTAAACCCAATAAAAATATAGCCGAAGAGTAGGACCCCTGAGAACACGGGTTCTGGACCCAGATTTCCAAGGCATAGACGCGAGCCCCTTCGCTTGCTGGCTGGTAACCACAGACAATGCACCCAACTGCTCTGTGGTTCACTTCCCTCACCTGTACAACAGTGATGATAATGTTACTCTTCCACAGGGGTGTTTGGGAATGAGATGGGCTAATAAATCTAGAGTACTTCTACTTAGTCCCATGCACCGCACAGAGTAAATACTTGTTTTAAGAATTGTCAGTGGACTGTTGCTTACGAAACTCTCCTACACATTAGAACATGCATCCTGGTTTCATGCATTCAGTGCTGCCTTTCAACGTGGTTAGGTTTGATCAGAGGACTGTTGACCTACAAATTATTCCCAGAATTTTTTTTTTTTGCTAGAAATGCTAACGGGCTGTAGTGCTATATTTTGTGTATATTGCCATCCATTTTATTTTATAAATATCATCCTGAGAGGGTTAACTACAGAAAGCACGTTACAGAAGATTCTGTCATCCAGTCTCGCACACTGTTCTATGTTCAAGGATCAGATTTAGAAAGCATCTTCACAGGCTGAAAACCTGGGGAATGGCTCTGAATTATACCGTGTGGGAAAACATCCAATCATTCTGAATTAGCTTACTGTCATATCATGTCCACCAACTGAAGATGTTTTCTAAAAGAATAGTTCTTTGAAGCAATTCATTCTCAGGTAACACTTTTTGGAGCAGAACACTTTCAGACAGTAAGATTTTTGTATAGTAATTTCTAAATGTAATGAATGCAAAGCAGTATTTCCTACTATAGTAAGGCGACATGTTCGTATTCAGTGTCTGTATTTTAACTGCTCTCATAAAAAGTGAGAAAACACTAGAAATGGCTAGGACATAACATTCTATACCCAAATGGCAGGTTGCAAAAATGTTGTATCAATAAAACTAGGAGATTTACTCAGTTTCAGTATTTTTTTCCTTTTTAGAATAATGAAGATTATTTAAATTCTGTTGTGAAAATGATTAAAAAAAAGTAAGTATCACCCGGTAAATTAAAAACTAGCCATTCTTTCATTTCTCTCCTGCTTTACTCTCTGTCTAATTATGCTATAATTTATGAATGCTCTTGTAATGAATACAGAAGTGGAGAATGAACCTATATATCTTTCTAACCTGTGGTGCGTGCCAGAAAAGACAGGTATCACCACACCAGGCTAGAATCTTTCTTTTCATCAGTTATGGGAAGAAGAAATTACTTGTCACTTAACATTTGTATTTCTAGGACCCTGTTGGATGATTGCATGGCTATCAATGATGATAGTTTCATTTGCCTCCACTGTTTTCAATTGCTGTACAATTCTTATGGTTTATATTTCCAGAACATTTCTTACTCTGAAGGGTACATAACTACTTGGACTTTAAAAAAAAAATTTCAGTCCTTTTCATTGGCATGTATTAATTCATACAAAGTAAGAGGTTTCATCATGACATTTCTACAACGCATACTAACATCCTTTGATCACAGCCACCCCTCAGTTGCTCTTTCTTATCCCTGTCTGTCCTCCTCCTTCCCTTCCCCTTCCTCTCCCTGTTGTCTGTCTGTGACCTTACCATGTTTTATTGCCCCTCCCCCCAGCTTCCACCAGTGAGAGGAAACATGGTATTTGTCTCTGTGGGACTGGCTTATTTTAAAAGAGATTATTTCTCATTCCAACCATTTTACAGAAAATGGCAAAATTTTAAGTGGCTGAAAACCCCTGTGTGTGTGTGTGTGTGTGTGTGTGTTTGTGTGTGTGAGATTTTCTTTATCCAGTCATCTTCGAGGGCACCTACACTGATGCTGCAATTTGGCTATTGTGAATGGTGCCACAAGAAACACAGGTATACAGGGGTCTCCATCCTTAGCTGACCCTGCATCTTTTGAGTGTATCAGTAGTTGTAAAGTTAATTAGAATAATGCAATAAGAAAAGGGGTTGGAGGAAGAGAAAGAAAAGAGAAAACTAAGAAATGAAATGGAGGTAGGGAAGGAAAGATAGGAAGTAATATTAGCGATCAATGAGAGAAATACCATAATTGTTTTACACCTTTGAACATTTATCAGAATATCACTTTTTCTGTGAACTATAAATGTGTGGAAAAATACCATAAAGCTCATTTATTATGCTGCACAATGTACACAAATTGTGTCATTCATATAAATCTTGTCCTGATTTCCCTGTACAGTAAAAAATAACATTTCCTTGAGGATTCAATATATTAATATCATAATGCCTACATTTAAATACCATTTAAAAGTCACGTAATTTATCTCTAAAGAAAGATCATGTGTAATTTTCTACCTGGCTTTCCATGGTTGGCCTTGATGGTACGATATTTCTATTAAAGGCCTTGGGATGTGGCTATGTTAGATTTCTTGCCTCACATGTGCAAGGCCCTGGGTTCAGTTTCTGGCCCTGCAAAATGCAATTACAACTTTTGCGAGAAGTATTTAATGTATTTTGGTGGTGTCCTTAATTGATATACTGCTATCAATTTTTTAAAAATAAAGATGCTCAAAGTACATGCTCCCACCATGGGCCAACCCCAGTCTCTGAGTTCAGAAGCCATATTCCTATCTTCTTTACTAATTTTAAACTAGTTTAAATTTGTGATATTCCCGTCTTTATAAAATTCAGCACTTTAATATCATGTATTAACACATGAAATAATTCAAAGCAAAATATCATACAGACATGCATAAAGTTATGTAAGTTCTTGTCATTTTGATGAATTGAATATTGAATCATCAGCCTCCATTTGTGTGTGTGTTTAGATTCAGTTGGTACGTGCAGATGGGGAGCATAGAAGTCATTACAATACCCACTTTCTTCTATCCAAACCTGATCCTCAGCAACGAGACGGTGACTGGGCACGCACAAATGAAAAGGTAGGGTAAGCTAGGGAGCCTTAAAGAAGGCTGCTGAGTGCCCTGCCTCCTCCCTGAAGCGGGGAGAGCACTGCAGATACTTCCTCAGGCACCCAGGGGCTCAGGGTTTGCAGTGGTGGTCAGCTGGTAGAGCACCAGCCAGTGAGGGGAAAAGAGAGAGAGGGAGGGAGAGAGAGCAAGGATTGAGAAAGGGGGAGGGAGAGAGGAAAGGAGAGGGGATTAAAGGGGGGAAGAGAGAGAGACAGACAGACAGAGAGAGAGACAGACAGAGACAGAGAGAGAGAGAGAGAGCTGAGCCAGGTGAATTGGCTGCAAAACCTGCCACTGTGTGTCATCCAGGCCGGGGAAGTGGGTGGTGGTGTGAGATCAGACACAGCAGGGGTACATAGTCCACAGAAATGGGCAAAGCCGGCTGGGCAGGTGGCTCAGTGGTAGAGCTCTTGCCTTGCATGCATGAGGCCCTGGGTTCCATTCCTCAGCACCACATAAGCAAAAAGAAAAAAGCCGGAAGTGGCGCTGTGGCTCAAGTGGTAGAGCGCTCGCCTTGAGCTGAAGAGCTGAGGGACAGCGCCCAGGCCCAGAGTTCAGGCCCCACGACTGGACCCAAAAAACAGAAGAAAAAGAAGAAAAAAAAAAGAAATGGGCAAAGCCACACCTGGCATCTCCAACTCCCCCACTTGCCGGCACATCTGCGAGTTGTCTTTGCTTACATTTGTAGACAGATGATTCCACCCACGAAGCAGGTAGGGGAGCAGGGATTATAAATCACTGCATCAGGATTCTAGCCTCTGCTCCTCTCCATCCTGGATGTCCCAGGCAGGTCGGTTAGCCTTTGATCCTTCATTTCCTTATCTTCCCACTATACATGATGAAATGCTATAAAAGAGCCTCAAAAATGTAAACACCCTGTAAAGGTAAACGTAAGCCACAGGGAGTATGTATAAGGGTATGTATTGTGGTGAAGTAAACTGATATTGGGGGTTTAGTGCCCACAGATGGCTCACCTGGAAGCCAAGCTCATTAGGAGGCTGAGAGCTAGAGGATCATGGTTCAGAGCCATCCTTGGCAGAAAAGTCCACGAGACTCCATCTCCAAAACAGCCCATAAAAGTGGTTCTGGAGGTGAGGCTTAAGTGGTAGAGCTCCCATTTACCAATCAAGCTGAGTGATTGAGAGGCCCTGAGCTCAACCCAGCCCCCTACTACTACCTTCCTATTGTGGTAGATGGGATAGGAAATGAATTTGGTTGCTCAAAACTTAATAAAGAGAGAAAGACATGTTGCTGAGGATCAGGCTTAAAAAGATTTTTTCCATGGGATCTTATTAACTTGGTTCTGTTTTAAAATTTTATATATGGTATGTCAGAATCTAGAAATATTTCAAAAATTAAATATGAATATGCTCCAGTTTTCTGGCTCAGAAAGCTAGGGGACACTCAGCCCTTCCCCTCCTGCCAGGTCCCTTTCCCCTCTACGCCCCTGCCTGGGCAGTGGCCTTTCCCCAGCCCAAGCCCTGCCCTGCTCCCCTCACAGCCTTTCTCCCCATGGTAACCCCATGTCTGCTTTTCACCCGAGATGAGACTCATACTTGCTGGGGTCCCTTGTGTTTTAGTCTCCGCGCACGCATTGGCCCCATCAGCCTCTTTTTCCTCCGGTCTGAAACCACGGTGTCTGCTCTTCCGCGCCTCGGACCTGCGCAGTAGTGAGGAGTGTTTCTACACAGGCAGTCCCTGGCGCTTTCTCCCCCACCCACCCCACTGCGCTGTGAGTTGGCCCCTAGTGTTCACATCTGCATGTTGAACTTTCTCAGTTGCTCTCATTTTCTTAAGTTTGCATCTTTTCATGTGAGATTCTGCCATTCCGAAGAGCAAGAGCTGCACTGCAGATTTAGTTCTTGGTGTTTTCAGGACAAGACCTAGAATCCAGCTTTATGCTTTCACATGAACAAGACCTAATACCAGAAAGAACATGGACTTGATCACTTAGTCCAAAATTTAACAACATGAAAGGTAAAATGTAGATTGTATTTTACCATAGTTTAGTAAAAGGAGACAATACCTACAGAATAAAGATAGTAAGCTTTTCGTTATGTGAGCTTAATAGAAACACACTCAACTTTATCAATGGATTGATCTGTGCCAGTTCGGCTGCGCGAACTCAGGAGGTAGATGTTGTCCCTTAACTTTTTTGGCTCAAGGCTGGCACTCTGCCACTTGAGCCACTCTACTACTGGCTTGTTGGATAGCAATTGGAAATAAGGGTCTTAGGAACTTTCCTGCCTGGGTAGGCTTCAAACTGCAATCCTCAAATCCCAGCCTCCTAAGTAGCCAGGATGACAGGGATGAGCCACCAGCACCCAGCACCAACTTTGTCAGTTAACTATAAAAAGTTGACTTTTAGAGGGTGGCTTACCAACTAAATAATAATGAAAATAATGACCAATTTTGTTGTTTATCTTTAGGTTGTACACGAAACAAGTCTTGGATTTTTGTATTTTGATGCTGTATGCCCAGCCCAAAGCCATGTATTACCTGCAGGTGAAAACTTGCCATATATGTTATTTTTTGTGAAATTCAGTATTCCTTTCTCTCTCTCCTGTAACTCCTTCCTTCCTCCTTGTGGTCGGTCTTCTGCCTTACTTTGTACCTCAAAAATAGAAAATGCTTATTGTATGAGGGTACCAAATAGAAGCTTGAAGTTGACTCTACCATAATCTTCCATGGGGTTTACCGTAATGGGAAAAATTGCAGTAACGTTATGCATAACGTTATGCACACCGGAAAGAAAATCTAAAGTGTGGTGAAGTAGAAATTCCACTGTATACGTTTTTCTGCCCGTTATTTTACTAGACTAAATAAGTCTGTTGGTGACAGGGACTCACTGTAGAGCCCAGACTGACCTCGGGAGCCTCCTGTCTCAGCCTTGTAGGTGCTGGGACTACAGGCCTACACTGTCATACCTGTCACCATTGTACGTGCCTGGCATTTACCCCACCTCGTCTCACACATTGTGAGCAACATGGTCCCATGAGGCCTTAGTATATTTGTAAAGATAAATCTGCCGTGTGTAATTTTTACCGCTCAGCTGCCGCAGATTTTCCGGCAGTAGTGTTGTGGTTTACAACCGCAAAAGTATCTGATTTATTTGACAACATAGACCATGTGCCCCTCTGAAAAGAGATTTTGGAATGTTACTGGTGAAAGTTACAGAAAGGCAAAGCCTTTGTCCTTACTGGGCTAAAAATCCTTTTCTGTTCCGCATTGGATGCAAAGTCATGGAAACATAAGATCCCGCCAGTGTCCACAGTTCTGTTTTGACTGAGAACTTTCATTTTCCTCCAACTTATTTAGGAGTCCTTTTCTTCCGTTGATCACACAAGATACACATTACATCACAACAAAAGGCCCTTGTTTCCTGCTCTGCTTCTCCCTGCAGTGGCCTTGTCCTCACACCACAGTGGCAGCCGGCCCTGGGCGGGTGGACTGTCATCTACCAGCCAAAAACCACTCAGCCAGCCACAGTAGCTGCTACTTGCATGTGGCAGGAAGCAAAGTTCATTTCTGCCATGCGCTAGATGTTGCGTCTCTGCCCCAGATTCCTCTGTTGAAATCCTAAATTCCTAATCTCAGAATTAGAGCCTTGGGAAGTGATAAGGGCTGGAGATCAGAACCCTAATAATTGGGATTAGTGTACTCATCAAAGAAGCTGAGAAGTCTGTCCGGCCCCTTTCCCCACCTGAGGACATGCAGAAGTCAATGCCCATGAGAGACTGGATACCAGATTCCAGATCTATGGGATGTGTGCAGTGCGTGGATCTTGGACTTCCGTGACTCCAGGGCTATGAGAAATGAATGGCCATTGTGTATAAACTAATCTGTAGTGTTTTGTTGTGATAGCCCAGATGCACTAAAACCAGGGTATCTGTGAAGATGAAAATGCAGTCAAACAATGCAAGGACATAGATTGAATATTGCAGGTTAGCATTTAGGAAACAGATACTGTGATCTGGCTAGTCTCAGAGCCAGAAAAAGAAATTTGTCTGACTCAAATGTCCTCAGGGAATTACACTAACAATAATTTCCTCACTAGAACCTTTTTTCAGTGTATCCTATTTTAAGTATTGTCTACCTACACGCTAATAATTGACTCAGCAGAAGTATTGAAGGACTAATTCCTTTTTTGTTGTTGGTTTGAATATTTTTCAGCTAGAAGATGACATCATAGCTAAAAGGATGTTCTTTAAAGAAATGGCAAATTATGTGCATAATATTGCTCCAAATAATTGGTTTTTCATTGAGTTTACAGTGATTGGATTTATAGGTAAGCAATAAATCTATCTTGTTGGGATCAAGCTTTTTAACAACTAATGCCAGTTGATAATAACAGTTGCTTATTAGTTAGCCAAAAGAAACAAAAAGAAAGGAGGAAGGAAGGGAGGGAAGGATGGAGGGAAGGAAAGGGAAGGAAGAAAGGGAAATGACAGAGCTGGGTACCAGGGGCTTATATCTGTAATCCTACTCAGGATTGATTACAGACTGAGATCTGAGGATCACAGTTCAAGGCCAGCCTGCAGGAAAGCCTGTGAAACTCTTATCTCCAATAAACTACTCAAAAAATCCAGAAGTGATGCTGTGGTTCAAGTGGCAGAGTGCTACCCTTGAGCAAAAGAAGCTCAGAGACAGCTCTCAGGCCCAGAGTTCAAGCCCCAGGACTGGCAAAAACAAAACAAAAAAATTGAACTCACAGCAAGTGAGGAAATGAACGAAAACTTACATTTCCATGACTAAATCCCCTGGCTTGATGCTGGCTGACGGAGCAGGGATAGCGAGAATCCAGCTTCTGACCTAGGAGCACCAGTTCTGATCTAGGAGCAGGGTGGTATGCCGGCGGGGACAGCTCTACGTCATAAGCATTCTGCATCGCTTATGGAACATGAACTTTTGACTGAGTAGTCTCCCTCTTACTTCATTTTAAAAACAGCATATTAAAAACAGCAATCAGACCTATTGAATCATGTTTTTTTTAATGTAGGGCATCATTAGTCATTATTAGGAATAGAATGAGGTAATAAGAATGGATGGGTGCAGTCAGATGCAGATGGCTAGGTAAGGTGGCCAGTGATGGGTGACACTGATGGACATGCTTTGTACTCGTAAATTGTGTGTTGAATGAAACCCCTTTGTATACCTAGCTACTTACAGATAAAAATGAGTGAATTATTTAAAAGGATCATTAATTAAACTCAAATTCCGACAAAGGAATGCTCACATATTGAAATAGAACACTTTTAATTTTTTAAGTAGTTGTGCCAAGGAGATGACATATAACAAAGCAGTTTATAAATACACGTTGAGCAATATCACCCCTTTCAACATTCTCACCCTTCCCTCCCCTACCCATCCCTCCCTACACTCTAGAGCATTTTTAATAAGAATTAAGTGCCGGAAGTGATGAGGTCGTAGGTAGTTAGATAAGACCACTACAGTTTGCAGGTAATGCAACACTGTGGCTTTGCCTCACTGATGGACAGCATGTGAAGTCAGAAGTGGCTTCTTGGATGTTAAGCTCAGCTTGCTTATACCCTTTCTCTTTCATAACTGGCTAAGCAGATAATAAGGCTTCGGTTTATCATCTTGGACCATCAATGATTCTGTAAAATGTGTTTCTGAAGGATGGCATATAGTTTTAAGTCATTTCTGGAGATCTTTGTGCTGATGGAAGGGACCGCTATTTATAGGCCTGGGTGCTGTCCCTCAGCTCTTCAGCTCAAAGCTAGCTAGCGCTCTACCACTTGAACCACAGCGCCACTTCCGGCTTTTTTCATTATGCTTATGTGGTGCTGAGGAATGGAACCCAGGGCCTCAGGCATGCAAGGCAAGCGCTCTACCACTGAGCCATCTTCCCAGCCCCTCATTTACTTTTCTTCACAGGAAAACTGTTTCGATCCGAGGACCTGCCTGGCTTTGTGCGTTTTTTCTTAATGTTCTACCAAGATAAGCCCATAGATTTGCTCCTGGAGGACATGTTTTATGTAAAAGTGTGTGAAACAAAGGAACCTTATGTGAGTATTACTTAATACATGTGAAATATTTAGAGAACATTCTATCTTTCTACTGTAGTTACCTATATTTTCTTACCAAACTGAATCTGATGATACCATCAACATTTTTAACTAGGATGTCCCTATGTTACATGAGGTGATAAGAGGACAAAAATGTAGAGAAACTTATAAACACAAGAATAAAAAACAGGGAGTAACAAAAAATAGAATTCTAAACCCTCCCTACTTACATTAAACATAAATGGCCAATACACTCAATTGAGAGATGCTAAGAACAGATTTACTAAAAGTAGTTCTTGCTATTCTTGGTTCAAATATGAAGTATGGATTAAAACAAATAGATGGGAAAAGTAAAGACCATGAAAACAATAATCGAGGAACTTTATATGAGTTCATATATTAAAATCAAAGTGTCCTTTAGATCTACAAAACAAAATGGGATCATGATACTTACATAGGCTTTAGTGGTTAACCAGGTAACACTGCAAACAATTATAGTGCATAAATTCTTCACCATGAAAATGAAATTGACCTCAAATATCCCAAACTGTCCACACCCATTCAGGTTGAAATAGGTGAACTAAATAACTCTGCATTGTACAAAGTCTAGAAAAGAACCCTCCAATAACAATATCATTTCAGATATATTTTTGTTTTAGTTTGGTTTTATGCTGCTGGTGACTGAACCCAGAGCCTAGAGACTGTGCTACCACTGGACTACATGTCAGCTACACATGTTTGCTTTTAATAAGATTGGTGTTAGTCATTTAAAAGATATTTACATTTTTATTGTTCTTCCCCATTAAATATCTCATAGCTTCTGTACTTTAATCTTACATGTTTATTGTTGATAATCATATTATTGTTGAAGAAGAAATTTCAGTCATAATGAATACAGAAAGAGAAGGATAGAGACAATGACACCTGGCTGAAATGGATAGGCAGGAGAAAAAACTACACATTTTTTGTAAGCTATCAGAACAGAAGAAAGAAAAATTTAGCTAGTAGAAAAGTAGTTTGTTTTTCCAAGACAAGAATCATAAGAAATACAGGCTTTGACCAAAGCCTTCTCTTACCCTGACTGTTTCTCTGCTGGGAAGAAAGAGCTAACAATTACATTTTTGTTTAATTGAAAAAACATAATAATGTAGTAGCCCAGCAAAAACTGATATAGTAAAAAGTCTGCCATCAGCAAATGCAACAGAAAGGAGCCTTCTGAGATTTTACAGAAGATTCTTGTTTGTCCTCTTTCCCAGGAAGACTGCAAGCAACGGCAGCATAAAGTTCGTATTCGGTACAAGCCGTCTCTCTTCCAGCATGTGGGGATACAGTCTTCATTCCCTGGGAGAAGACAACTTCTCAAAGTAAGACTTGGAAATAGAACTTCAGTGGCCAGTCATGTCTCAATAACGTATAAGCTCTTGGTTAGAAAAGGAGTGAGGACGTGACACTTTAACACATTCCAACCACTCAACTGTAACAGAAACGCATGGCAGAGGGTTTGCAAAGTTTGTGTCGACTCTCATGGTCAAAAAAAAATATCTGCCTTATAGAAATTTCTTTGCTTTACCATTTTCACCTGTGCAATTTAAATAATAAGACTCAATAAGAGTTTTGTGAATCATAATACTCAACTTATACCTCCTACCATATAAAGTAGAATCAACAATATCTTAGTAATAAGTGTGAATATATTGACATTATTTTTTAATTTTCTAACAGGATAACTTTTATTAGGAATTTCATTCCAGCTTAGAATTTCATTCTTCCAGCTTCTTTAAAAATCGTTATTCTCATTCTTTGGGGAAAAAAATGTCATGGCAAGAACAAGACTTCTTCACATTTTAAAGAGTGGACAAGAGACTGAATTATATTTTTAAAGACTAAATCTTAGTGGTAAGTATTAAAATCAATGAATCTGCACAATGATCTTCACTACTCAGTGCTTTAAATCATTGTGTTTTATATATGTTCAACTTTTATTGGTATGTTTTCCTTAATATTTATTTCTAAGAAAAGCATTTCTTTAATATTTGTTTCTTTTAAAATGCAAGTTGTTCCCTAACCAATTACATATTACACTTATTATAAAACCACATAGATGTATATTTTCTGTACTGTAATTTTATTAGGAAAAAACTCATCTCTAGCCATCTAGCACATAGATTATTTTATAATTTTGTTATTATCTTATCACTTTATAACAATAAAACAAATACTGTCTTTTTAGTGATGCACCGTCTTAGTTTTGAACTTTCTTGAAATTTGCCCCAATCTTCAATTTCAACAGATTGTTACCTGAAATCATGTTCTATATTGCAATAAACAACCTTTCTCCTTGGGTGATGACTGAAAACTTTTTTTTCAAATCAATACATTGGTACTTTTGGAGATGTCCAATCCCATATTAGAGGTGGAGGGGAGGGCTGGATCGTGGCTGGTGGACAGTCAGTGCGCTCTCTCTTCTGCATGGCGTATCTCTGCCCCACATGCCGTCAGTCCCTCAGACGCTACACCGTGCATAAGCCAGAGGCTGGCGTGTTGGAGGCCGGTTTGTACAGACCTCTCCCGGTGAGCTTCACATTTCAGAAAAGCCCAGCCTGTGTCTGTGTGTTTGTCAGGACCGTAGTCAGTGGGGCCATGCCTGTGTGGAGGGGGTAGAAGTGTGGAGGACACTTCCATCCTTCCCACGGATGCCTTTGCTGCACCCACATGTGCAACACGTCTGCCTTTCCCTAAAGACCATTCTCTTTTGTGTAGATACATGTGATGAGTTCACCTTAGAATTTGGGGCTGAATGTAACGAAAAATGTTTTTTTCTAAAGACCATCATGATTCCTTTCATCCATTGAGAGTTGTTCCCTTTGGTCCACAACAAATGTGACATTATCATCATGTGGAATAAAAGGCCCATGTTCTTTCAGACCGAGAGCAAATTTCTTTCAGTCTATTCAACTTTATACTGTGTCTGATGCTCACGTTATTATTAAAGGTTTATTATTTTGTATTTTTTACAGTAAGTTAACTTAGTTACCTTACCTTTCACATATTTGCATTAAAAAAATTAAATTGTTATTAGAAAGGTGATGAACAGAGGAGTTACATTTACAAAAGTCAGGTAAAGAAAGAGTACATTTCTTTTTTGGACAGTGTCATCCCTTGCACTGTTTTTTCCTCCCATGCCCACCTGCATTTTCAATTATAAAAGTAAAATACAATGTGTTTTAAAATATCCATTCATCTATAATAGTTCATTGATGACAATGTTAATCTGAATATACAGATTCTCCATGAGAGGTGCAGGTGAAATTCAACTTCTGTAACTGTAATCCAACTTCCATAATGCTAACATCACAAGGAGTGATGTTATTGTCATTTGATAACAGCATATTAGATATCTGGTAATCCACGCTAAGTATAAAATTGTCTTTTCTGTTTAAAATGGGTGGGTGGTAGAGTAAAGGACACAGTAATGCAAAAATACCAAGAAATTAAGAAATAATTGCATCTTTATGAGCTAATATATTACAGATTTTACAAATTTATTTCCAAAAATTTGAAGATAATAAACATAAGAGGAAACCCCATGGTCTTTAAATCCTCTCATAACCTTGATTTGTAGTGAAATCTTTTGGATATTATAATAGAGGAAAAACATAATTATCCAGAAGAAGAAAAATGGCAATGAGCCAGCATTAAATGACTTATTAGGTCAAGAAAAGAAAATGGCACCTCTATTAGTGTTTTTTTAATCCATTATTTAATTTAAAGATAGTAAAGTTAGTTCTTAACAGGAGCTGTATTTTCTTATCTAGCTAACAAGGCTAACAATCTCAGTAAGTAGCTCCAAGCCTAGAAGTATGTTGTGTACAGGTTCTGTGTGAATTCACAGATACTTCTATCCATTCCTCAAAGACATCTAAAGAAATAGAAATGAGAGCCAGCCTGGGTCTAGCAGAGCATCATGACTTCTTGTCTTTTAATAAATGCATTTGAAACTCTTAACTTACCTATGTGCCATTTGAGCTGATTATTACCATCTAGATGTGTAACATAATATTCATTAACATAATATTCATTCTTTTCTCTAATAGTTTCAGAGTTTAATCCATTAATTATTTGGGATTGTCTCTTAATTGATTTAAAATTTTTTTCATCTTCTTACAGTTAATTTCCAAGTAAGTTATGTATTAAGAGCACTTCATCTGTGATAAAATTTGAGAGCACTTATATTTGTGCTCATAGGATTTCAAAAGGATGTAAAGTGTGTACACTTCTTTAGAAGTAGGTGGTACTCATTGGTGTTTTTTTTAAACAGATGTTGGGTTTGTGCATTAAAATATTAGACTCTTTACTGAGTAGTTTCCTTGAGTCATTAATTTGTAAGTTAAAATTAGATCCTAATTTTGTTTAAACCTTTTAAGTCCTTATATTTTTTAAATTTAAAGACAAAGAGGAAAGGGTAGGATCCTACCGTAATCCCACCCCCAGAGCAAGAGCGTGACCCCAATGAGCTCAAGACCTTTCTCTAGGCCCCACCTACTCTCCTTCCCAACACCTCCCACAAGCACTGAGCTGAGCACCATCTTTTACAGGTGAGAGTTTGGGGAATGAGGTGTGTGCAGATGTTGGAGTCCCAGCTGGGCCTTCTACCCTGTGGTGGCAGGATGATGGTTTCTAACAAGAAACTTGACATTAGCAGTGAATTGCATAGTGGCTTATACATGAGCCGTTAGAGTTTTGTTTTGCCATTAGACTTCATTCTATAATCCCAGATAGAATATATAACAATTGATGTCAGTAGGGGCAGAAAGCTCAATCCAAACAACTTTCACAGAAGAAATAATATTAAGAAATAAATTACAACAACAACAAAGATAGAAACAATGTTATGTCTTTACAGTGGAATACTACTTGAGAATAAAAAAAGGATCTATGGATACACACAAGCACATGAATACATTTCAAATACTTCTAAAGAAAGCCAGACCAAAAAATAGCACATGCTGCTGTCTAGTTCCATGTTTATAAAATTCCACATTGATGTGCAAGAACAGAACCATGGTTGCCTGGAAATGGGTGACATGGGAATGTTTGGGGGTCATGTGTTACCTGGGTGTAGATATGTCATTAAGTTGTGAAACTGCATTCCAAATATATTTCAATAAGCTTTCTGTAAAAAAAAAATCCTGTTAAAGGACAGGAGGGCGAGCTTTTCCAGATTTGAGCGTCTGGGCATCTTAATACCTAAGCACAGTTATGGGTGGTAATAAAACAAGCTATGATTCTATGCTTAAAGATTGGATGGATGGATGGATACACAATGTAAACGTTAATACAAGGCTACCTGTGTCTAATTAACACAGAAGATGAAGTTAGAAATTCACTGGTATAATCACAGGGAAATTGATTCAGGCAAAAGTGATGGATGGTTCCTAAAGGCAGAGTGGAAGGAGACGGTGAGTAAAGGTTGATGGCCGGGCTTTGGAAAATCCAAGAGACTCCACCTCCAAGTAACCACCCCAGAGCTGGAAGTGGTAAAGAGCCAGGGCTGAGCGGAAAAAGCTGAGGGACAGCGCCCAGGCCCCGAGTTCAAGCCCCAGTCCCCTTCCACACACACACACACACACACACACACACACACACACACACACACACACACACACACAGCCGCAAAGGTTTGCTCACCCAGATTCCTTACAAATTTCAAATCGAATTCCAACCTAGGGAAAGGAAGGCAGGCAACCCCGGAGGGGAGGGCCGTGCTTCATAAATGGTGTTCTGTTACGTTAGCAACACGAAGGCCTGCGGTCAGACTGCACTGGTCTGGCTTCTGTTGTGGGGCCTGAGCTCTGGGCCTGGGCGCTGTCCCTCAGCTCTTCTGCTTATGCGAAGCTGAGGAATCGAACCCAGGGCCTCATGCATGCAAGGCGAGCGCTCCACCACTGAGCCACCTGTGCAGAGGAAACCCATAGCCTGGGCCTTAGGACAAAGCGAGGCCAGGGAACCCGCAGCCTCACCGAGATCAGCCAGGAGCCGGCCCGGGAGCAATAGGTGGAGCCCGCAGTTTGCCGGGAGGGTGGGCACCGGGAGGGGGGTGTGGGGACCCGGGAATGAGGAGGGAGGGCCGATGCACCTCTGCAGATGCCTGCGGGGCGGGGCGGGGCGCGGCGGGGCGGGGCGCTGCCAACCCCACCCCCTCTGCTGCTATGGAAACTGCAGCAGGTGCACCGGGCTCTGCCCCTCCCCAGCCCCACCCACCACGCCCCACCGCCCGGCAGCGCCCCGCCCACAGAGAATGCCCCGCCCCCAATAAATGCCCTGGCACGCCCCCAGAGAAGTGCCCCGCCCTCCGGACAGCGCCACGCCCCCGCCACGCCCGACCCGCGGGCGCTCGCGCAGGCGCAGTTAGCAGCCGCTGCTGGGCGGCGGCGGTGGGCGGGGTCGG